CGGAATATTGTCGTCAAAGGGTTTTCAAGGTTTTGAGGGTGGGTAGTTTTGAAGGCGAGATTTGGAGAAGATGGATGGATGGTGATGGAGGTGAGTACTCTCATAAACCCTAATTCATGATGTAATGGTGTGTGGGTTTAATTGTGAGATGAGGTGTTCTAAAATTAATGATGTCATTTTTAATAATTTTATTTGAGATTATTATTGTAATAAAAAAAAATTAAAAATTAAGGGATCTAAAATAATTCATGAGATGCTAATAATAACATTCTTTATATATATAGAGATATATATTTTAATCTACATGAGTCCAGAACACCATGTGGACCTTATATCTGGTCATTGGTGTTTTATGATTGATCTACCATTATTCCCATTTTTTTTAGACACAACATAGTATTTCAGAAGACGAAATAATCATCACATAGGGAAAATTCTATTTTCACACACAGCTTCCTCTCTTTCCGCATCTTTTCTCAATACACACACTAAATAAATTTAAATTATAAACTTTCACTCGATACACATCCTACCATACCAAAAATTCCCTTACCATCTTCATCCTCCAATCCCTAATCCTAACAAGCCACCGCGGCTGTTGCCGCCACCGCCGGTGGCGGCACCTCTGCTTTCTTGCAAAACTGAAATTCAAGTTGGTTACATACACCAGACAAGAAAAGACTCTTCGAAATTGTGTGGGGGTTAGTTGAGTTTCCAGATATTGAATACAAAACACCACAAACACGTCTAATATTCTCTATCTATCTATCTATCACTACACCACCATACATATACATTCACCATGGCTTCAACAGACCTCAGTCTCTCTTGCTTTCCTTCATTTCACTCTCCTCCATTGCTGCATTCAACAATTCTTCTTACTCTACTTTCATTTTCTTCTGAAAAATTACCTGTATTGTGACAATTTTCTTTTTTTATTTTATTTTTTTAGTGCTTCTCTACTGGGTCTGGGACTGAGTTTTTTAGTACTGGGGGACTTCTTGAATGGGTTGGGAACTGAGCTTGGAACTTTATTTCAAATTCAAGGTACCGTGTTTTAACTTGCATTTGCAACATAAAGAAAATGAGAGTAACCTTTTGTTTTGAAAAAATAAAAATACAAAATCTCAAATGGTGTCCAAAAATTGGCCCCTGTTTTTGCCCCTGCTTTCATGTTGGTTTATTTATTTTCAGCAATTAATTCAATCTGTAACAGTAGAGCAAGAATGCAGGACAGAAAGAGATTCATGAACATGTCTTCCACAATTGACAGACACACTTAACTTAGACTTTTCAAATGTTCAGCACCCAATATGCCATCTTGCTCAAGTCCAATCAAGTAAGGCACCATAATTGTTCTCATATCAACCCCTTTTCTTGAATAGATAGATGCATGTTGAAGTCTCTCTCTCTCTCTCTCTCTCTCTCTATATATATATATATATATATGTATAATAAGATTTTTTTTTTTTTGAACTATATATAATAAGATTGGTTTGAGAGAGTAGAGTTAGGGTTTTGGGAAAGGAATATTTTGGTAATTTAATTTCAAGAAAAAAATGTAATAAAAAAAATCATTAAGTGTGTGGAAAGAGAGGAAATAGTGTGTGGAAATAGAATTTCCCATCACAGAGCTTTGTACTTGAGAGTTGAGACCGCAACAATGTAGCAGTATGGTTCACACAGCAAAGAGGAAAGCTTTCACAGCATTGTCTTGAAGATTTAATCTTGGATAGTGGAAACTCAGAGTTCAAGCTATAATTCAAAATCTGGGGCTTGAACCCTCATATATTCCCTGCATGAAAAGAATTGGGTATTATTCTCCAATCCAATCACAGCTTTTCGAAGCAAGAAGCTTAGTGGAATCTGTGGAATCTGCCAGTATAGGAGGGGTTCCTTACCTGTTGGGGAATCGGATAGAGGAGGTTTAGAACGATCGACAGTGTGACAGTACTGCACTACAGGAGAGATACGCAAACACTCCATCAATATGGACTTCAATCATAGCCTAACTCCTGTCCCACAGATGGCATAGTGGCAAAGAGCCGGTCAAGGATTCATAGGCAAAAGTTTTGTTCCATAGACTCAAATCCTGTCTCCATAATCACCAAACCACCACCCGAGGGTGCCTTTTTTTATTTAAAAATTAAAAAATGACTTTCCGGACCAAATTTCGATCCAAAACTGAGGTGGAAATGTTTCATTGGGCAATGATACCCCCACTTTATCACAAACCAATGACAATGCAACACCTCAGTCAGTTTCAATAAAAAAATCAGCCAATCAATAATTTTTTCTGAAAATTATATAGATAAGCAACAGACTACCAAATAAGGTTTTATTAGTGTGCAAATGACAGACATGGTCAGATGGCAATATCAAGTTTACAACATGATGACATAACAGATTGCAAATAGCAGAATATGATGCTAACCAGTAACCACTATCAGTTGCTTTAGTTTGCTGCATTTGCAGAAGAAAAGCAGCCCTATAGCTAAGTAAGCCCAACAATCTCAAAATTAAGTGGCATCTTGTCTAACACTCTGCTAATATCAGCTCTAATGCCTCTACCGTCAGACGAGGCGTATAGTTCTGTGATCTTAATTCCTCCATCTGGTATTGAATTCTCATTTTGATGTTCAGAGATTCAAAACACAGCCACTAAATATTTGGAGTTTACTACTCCAGCAATCATATCAACTAAAATATTTATTAGCATTGTAACCTACCTGAGGGAACGACATGGATCCATTGAAGTCAATCAGACGATACAATCCTAAAACCCAATTCAAATAGATCAGAGCACACCCCTATAGAGAACTCTATATCATCAACAGTAGCCATCCAGACAAGCAATTGAAACCCTCATAATTTAGTTTGCTTCCAAAATACACAATACCAGTAATTGAACTTCCTGAAATGTTTGACCTTGGAGATCAAAAAATAAAATAATAGATAAAAGATCCAAAAGATCTATCTCCCAAAATCACATTACTCACTGTGGGCATCAAACATGTAAACATTTGATGCAAAACAAACAACATGCAAGACACAGGAAGTAAAAGCCTTCCAAAATGCAACTGTGAATGGTGCACAGCTTTGCAAAGAATATCAAAAGGATTCGGTCCTGCCAACTAGAAAGACCAGTTGAAGTGATAATTGAAAAATAGGCAAGAAGATAAAAAGCGAGTAATATATGACGTGTAAAACAAGCAAATATTGATTAGATGCTTAATAATGCATGCAGTAGGGATAAGGAAAAGTAGGCAAACTGGATTCTCAGGCAATCCTTCATCCATGACATTTTTCCAATCACACAATAAAGGTGTGCCAGTGCAATTTGTACTCTTAAAAATAGTTACCAACTAAAGCTTGCCATTTTTTGTTAAACAACCTACCACTCTTAAGCGAACTAAAATAAATCTCAAGTCCGCCAATATCCTGACAGAAACCTCATCATTCTACAAGATTATTTCTACTGATTTTTAAGAGTTCAAAAACCATTGGGAACTCAGATCTTACAACAAAAATCTGCATGTGAAGCATTATAAAGAGACTTGCAACAGAAAGGGAAAATGAAACCCAACATAGGCAAAGGATAAATATAATTCCAAAAATAAATTCACCTAGAGCAAATGTGAATTACACCGTGACTTTAAAATTCCACTTAAAAATAATTGACATAAATCATCTGTTAAAGGCATCAAGCAATCCAGATCAGTCCCAAATCCATCCAATCCCCCTACCTTCCACAATGCATTCCTCATCAACTACAATGCAAAAATTCTTATTGTCATCCAACTATACAAAATGCTACATTAAATCTGGTGCAAACCCAAATGCCAAGGATGCAACTTAAACATAAATCGATACAAATAATGTCAGAATGACCATATTTATCTGTCATGTTTTGTTTACCATCTTATGGGTTCGTAACTAATATGAGGGGTGGTGGGATCTATCAAAACCAATGCCACTTTAACACATAAGTTGGTCAAGACAACATGATAAATAAATGTGGTAATTGTAGCACTATTGAAATCCATAAGAACCCAACAAAAGCATTCAATTTAGTCCTATGTCCTATTTTATCACAGAATAAAACCCAAGCTATGCCCTGTTTTTCTTGAAATAGAATATTGTTTAAGTAACTAATCACTTTCAATATTTGATTTGATGTACTAATATTGACCTCAGATTAAAAACAAAATGTACAAAAAGAAATTTCAGCTTCCCCCTCTCACGAGCATGAACAAAATCTATCTAGAAGATAATTTTTGACTTGTTTGCTCAAATGGATAAGTTAAAAACACAATTTACACTCTCGCATAAAGAAAATTAACAACTTAAAATAATTGAAACTAGTGTGCATGCTATCCACAAACTGTGAAGACACATGAAGTACTTTTGTGATTTATCTTTCTTATTCCCTTTCATTTCTACTCTGGTCCAACTAGAAATATCATTTGTTCACATTTGAACAATATTAACAACAAACAGTCCATGCCAAGCAATGCATCAAGCCAGCAAAACAAACACCTAAACCAATACCAATGCAGATAAATTTTAGTACAAAGTAAAGGTTCCATGGAACAAAAAGATACGAGCCAGGGAGAGCCAAAATTATAATTTGAAAATGTGTTTGGTCAGACAACCACTTCACAAGTGGTCACAGGGTTCTAAGTTGACGATCAGATTGGCTGCCGGATGCAACCAATCTACGTTCTCGTATGTAGGCTTCGAATATAAGCATTTCAATCATCATAACATCTGTGTCCCAGTCTCTGTTTGATCTCTGTGTGCTTAGCACTACTGTAAAAATATTAGATATAAGTCACATATTGCTTCCAACAGAAATGTAGACATCATCAGTTAAGATTTAGATAAGTCACCTATAAAAAGCTTCTAAATTTCCCAGAATAAAAAGCATGCAAAATACATCATTCAACAAACACGAACGCTAAAGTCAATTCCAAAAGCAACTAATCAAAAAATTAAAAGCAGTTGAAACAACTTCATGCTAACCATCATGATCATATTATAAAAACAGTTAAATAACAAACTCAAATCAATCCCACATACAAAATTAAAATATAAAACCCAAGTCACTCAGAATTGAGTAACTAACACCCACATACAAAAACACAAATTTATCCTACAAAAACACAAATTTATCCTCCAAATCAACAGCAAAATTTTCAGAGGTCATCCTCCATCCTCAAGTATTCCCCAATATCCGACTGGTGCAGCACCACAATCCCATTCGGGTCCATCTTCCTGCAATCATGGGTCGATTTGGCCGCAACCCCAAACCCCAACGGCACATCCGCCATCGAAAACACCACAACCCCATCTTGGGGCACAATATTCTCAGTAATCCTCCCCAACCCACCTTTCAAAACATGATTTCCGTACAAAAACGACATCTCCGAGGTGGGTTTGAGCCAGACCTTGTGCTTTGCATTGGCGGCGAGCAAATTGAGCCCTTGGATCGAAAGATGAAACTTGCCTCCTTTAGTGAATTTACCGATTTGGGTACCGAGTGAAACGAGATTGTCTCGCTTGATGTTTGTGGCTCGCTTGACAAGCGATTCGCTGACGTAGTAGACTCGGTTCTTCTGCAATCGGAAGCAGTAGCGACCTGGGTTGGGTTCTGGGCCTTCGTGAGAAGGGTTGTCGACGATGTTCTTGAGGTTGTTGCCTGTGAATTTGAACATCTTCTCGAAGACTTGTGTGGTCTCGCTCTCGTCCAGTGGCCTCATCGTCGTTACCAGGAGGAAAGGGGGTTGTGAGGGGGGCTAGGGTTTTGGGTTTATCTTTCTCTCTCTGTTTCTGTTTCCCTTGTTATTTTCCCCTTTTTACCCAAACGTAGCCTTAAGTTTTTTCTTTTTATGGGGGAGAAATTAAACAAAAAAAGGTTATTTGCGCTTTGTTTGGGTTCCATATTTTCTTAGCTTAAACATTTTGCGTGATAAAAAAAACTAAATAAAAAATATTTTTATTTTAAAAGTAAAAAAGATTTTATAAATTAAAATTTTACAAATACCACTGTATAATAACTAAAGGTGAGTAACGGATATTCTAATCTTTTCAAATTGACTTAATCGAATCAATTCGTCGCATTTTGGACTAATGCATGATGACGAGCGGACGATTACAGATTGATTTTTTTCAATCTGCCTAATTTTCGATGGATGTCGGATTTGAAATTCCTTTAACCGTAACTGAACCGCCAAATCGCGAGCACCCCTAGTAATTTGTAAGACTTTGTATTTTCAATTTGTTTAGATATTCTGTTTGTGTTTTCAATTGAAAAAGAGTTTAGATATTCTATTGTGTTTTTAATTGAAAAAGAGTTTAGATATTCTATTGTGTTTTCAATTTAAAAATCCTTTTATCAAATGACAAGTGTTAATATTTGGTATTTTTGTGTATAAAATATAAGGCTTAATTTTGTCATTCAAAAAAAAATCAAATTAAATAGTTTTTGAATAAAAAAAAGTAATGAAATAGTTTTGATAATGCATGGTTTTCTTATATATATTTATTATTGATATTTGACAATTTACTTGATAATCTTTTGATTATGTTGAGTTGAATTGTTATCCAAAAAAAAAAAACATTGACAAGTTATTATATTATGTTCAAAATTTATAAAAGTTTAAACCTTCAAACCGATTCGCATTCATTCACCAATCTGTATCCGTCAATCTGACAGATGAATGCAAATTGATTTTTTTAATTGGCCAATTCGACGGACGAATGACAAATTAAAAGTTCTCAGGTCGCAACCAAATTGCAAACACTCCTAACTATAACCATCACATCACCTACATCCCTATAAAAATCAAGGTTGACTCCACTATTACTATTAATGTGATTAGTTTTAATTTTCTAAATTTAATTTTCTAAAAATTCAATTTTTTATTTTTCATGTTTTTTGCTTTAGTGAATATTATTAAAATTTTAAGCAATTTTTTTACTTTTTAGATGCACCTTACTTAAATGTATCTAAAAAGTAAAATATTTGTAATTTTTTTAAAAAAAAAATCAATAAATACATAAGAATATGAAAAATAGACTGAATTTTTTGTTTTTTGTTTTTGTTTTTTTTTTGTATTTTTGGTATTTAGTGAATTTTTTAAAGATTTTTTTCACAAACATTATACTTTTTAAGTGTATTTATATTAGGTGTATCTAAAAATTAAAAAAATACTTAAAAACTAAAAAAATACAAAAAAAAAAAAAATTAATTTTTTGAAAAGTGAATTCAGAATTCACAAACTAAACAAGCGGATAATTGCTACCAAACCGTTTTCTTCACTTCTACTTCCACTTCCACCACTAATACATATGGGGTTATTTTAGGAAGTAAGTTAAACATTTTGATTTTTTTAATTTTTTTTTTAAAATCGTATAAAAAGAAAAAAGAGATGATGTAATCTAAAATATATTAAAAGTCAAAAAATGACTTTTCATCTATTACCCAAAAGATGCCATAGTCATTAAAGTCTGGATCATCTCCCGCCCATTCCTATAGCTGTCCCTGCAGTGGTCCAAAACGACATCGTTTTGGACCTTTTTTTTTTTCTTCCTTCCCTTTTCCTCATTCCTTCTCTGCTCTCAAATAGCGAGACGATGATGACGGTGTTGGAAAATTTGAATCTAAATTTACTCCAATGGTTGTGTCTCTTGAGATAGAAGGGTGTGTTATTTTGAAGGGTCACAGCTTTTCTGAAGAGTTATGGAGGAATTTATAAAATCCCATCTCCCTCATTTTAATTTATATAGAGTATTGCAATTTTCTTCTTTACTTTGTATTTTATTCTTCATATTTTTTGAATCTAATTTCCCTATAAAGAGAGTATATGCACAACAAAATTCGCTAGGCTTGCAATAGTAGTGTTGCTAGTGCATGACATTGATCGTTGTATCTTGAGAGATAGACGTCCATTGAATCCTAAGCACCGGTGGGAGGATGAATCTGTCTTAAGGAAAGAGAAAAAGTGTCACACACTCAACTCGATCAAGTTTTATCGATTTATGTACTGTAAGTTTTATCACGTTATTATGTCGATTTATTTCAGTTTTGATTTTATCCAAAAATCGTTTACATTTTTAAATTATATTTTTCATATAGTTTGGTACTATTTTTCTAACAATCTTAAGACAGACTCGTTCTTGTTTATGATTTTTGGGAAAACATAATTGATTTGTTATTTGTATATGGTGAATTGCATGAGCCGGTGGCACTGCAATATGTTGGACCATCATATATTTTTTTCCCCCCTTCAATTATTGATTGATGGTTGTTAATAGTTTATATGCAATTTGTTGTATAATTGAAAATTTGCAGCGGGAATAAAACTTACATGATAAATATTTGTTTATGTGATGTTGGTTATCATTCAAATATACGAGTTTTTTTTTTTTTTTTTATGAAAAAATTGATTTGTTCAAATCAATTATTTTTATGCATTGTTTATTTGGAAATGGAACGGTTACATTCGTGAGAGAAATATAAAGGTTACTCACACACTGTTTGACGGAAACCCCTTTTCGAGAGAACCATCTCTTGGAATTTGTTGTTTTCTGGATACATAAAACACAACCATACCAAAACACTCCATCAGATATACATATTTTACGAATTCAGAGCATCAAATAAAATCTGGAAATGCTTCTTACTGACTCGGCGGTCCTCGAAGACGAAATCGCAATGTCGATGGGCTCGGTCGATGGTGTCGGGTCTGTAGGGCTCGAGATTGATCGATTCCGATGAAGAAGTTTGGGTTGTTGAAACCAGAAGCAATCCGAGAGGTTGTGTATGTATAGAAGCTGTGTTGATAACCAAAGGTTTGTGCTTTTTGCGAGAAAATTGAGAAGAATTGGGCAAATGATCAAATCAATGCGCAGTAACGAATTTTTCATGTTATTCCATAAGACTCAATTTGAATAAACCTATCAATGTGTAAAAATATTATATATATATATATATATATATAAAGAGAGAGAATTTGAATAAGAATAACAAGTGATTAAATTATTAAATTATTTTTTGAAATATTGTGTGATATGTGTTTTTTATTTGTTTTGACTGATTTAGTTTCAAAGCTATGTATGGGATTTAATTAGAGTATATTTAAAAGTTTGTGAACTTTTTGAATTGTGGTGTTGTTCCATTTAATTGGAAATAGATTAAGGAATCTTTTGTATTGATTATTATTTTGTTAATAATCAAGTTGAAAGTTATTTTTTAAAATAGCTTTGACATAAGTTGTCATTATTTATTATGAAACTTGTGAAATAGAGTTGTTTTATTTGCATTAGTGACAGTGACACTTGTCTGAAAATGAATCATGTTATTTGTGTTAATTTATATATTATCACAAATATGGAGAGAGAGAGATTAATGGGAAATTATGATTATGATTGACTTGTTAATCTTGTCCATGTCTACATATGTTGTAGAGTTGACAATTAATAGCATTATTTTTTTTTATGATGTTATTAATATTTTTTTTATGATGTCATTAATATCAATTTGGTACGTGGTGTTTTATAAATGGATTTCAATTAGTTATCATGAATGGATGCCAATTAGTTATCGAAGTATTGATAAAAATGTGAACCTATGTGTTTTGACATAAGAGGAATTCCAACTATTCTTTGGAATAATGACTAAAATTGGTGTGGTGACTGATAACTCCGTAATGAAATATTTTATGAGTTAAAATATTTCATAGGTGAAAGACATTTTGGTAATTGTTGACGCAGTCACCAATACTAAATAAGACAAATAAGATGTAAATGTATTTATACAGTAATATTTGTATATTCCATGTTAAGATTGGAATTAAGGGTTGCAGTAAACAAAAAGAAATTAATCATGGCTAAAGAAGTGTTATTTGACAAAGTGTTGTGCCCACAACCGGTATTAGTCATTTCTTTCTTGTACTGCAAAAGCAAGTTATGAAGTCTAATTATATTTTAGACAAATTAGTATTATGATTATATTCACAAAGCAATTTACATCTTGTTATTTAATTCAAGTACGCCAATTAATGATATATTTTGATTTATCTCAGAATTGTAGAGGTGTATTAATATTTTTGTGTAATTATACACCAGTAAGAGAAAGTTTCCTTGGAATGCTTATAATAAGGGGGTGCTTGGAGGATTTTACCAAAGTAACAGATCTGTTTGTAGGTCCACAAAGAATCTCAATTCTTTTTATAGGACAGAGTTGGAGTAGAAGCAAAAATGATTTCATTAACTCCTAAGGAACAACTCTATGTTTATTATTTAAATTTGAAAATGGGAGTAACATAGAGTAATGGTAAGTTTTGATGTAATCAAAGACTTAATACCGTAGGACATTTGCTTTCAATTGTGAATATTGTCTAAGGATAATATAATGGATCCACTAATGATATATAATTGAGAAGGTCAAACGAAAAATAGCGACCGCTAAACAAAAAGTTTGACCAGAGAGCAAATGAGAAAAAGTTCATCAAAAGGAATGTGATTAAAACCTATTACATCAGAGTCATCATAATGGTAACCTTACTTAGATGACTGGAGATCCCAAGAACTAAGTTCAAAGGGACAATTAAGTTATGTGTGGCTCGCTCGAAATCACTAAATGAGTCTAACTCCTATCCAGTTCTGTGATGAAAGTGATATCTGCAATATGTGTTGTATGCAGGGAACTTAGGGTAAGTTATGCTTTTAATGATCACTTATATCTTGAAAACCCCAGACTGTTATCTTTCAAGAGGAGTATTTAAGAGACTTGAAATAAGGATCACCTATATGAGTGTGAAGGGGCCACTTCTATGAGAATTGATAAGGCAAAATTTTCTAAAGCACTCATGAAATATCAAGAGATGCCCAAGGCCAAAATGGGCACAACTGTGAGAACTAAACTGTGTCTGGAGATATTCTGTGTGAATTCTATTGTCTTGGCTTACACAAACGACTGAACAGTTCAAGGCATCATGTCCACTAATTAGCTAGTAAGTCCGATAGGCTTTCACTAGAGAAGGTTCAAAGCCGAAAGCTACCCATCCCGATGCAGGATATTTCCTTGATGTACTCTCTTGTTGTCTGCATGTTGTTGCACGTTCTTTCGCAAATTTCATTCATGTGGGGGATTGTTGAAAAATTTGAATTTAAATTTACTCCAATGGTTGTGTCTCTTGAGATGGAAGGGTGTGTCGTTTTGAAGGGTCACAACCTTTCCGAAGAGTCATGGAGGAATCTATAAAATCCCATCTCCCTCATTTTAATTTATATAGAGTATTGCAATTTTCTTCTTTGTTTTGCATTTTATTCTTCATATTTTTTGAGTCTAATTTTCCTATAAAGAGAGTACATGCATAACAAAGTTCGCTAGGCTTGCAATAGTAGTATTGCTAGTGCAAGACATTGATCGTTGTATCCTAGGAGATAGACGTCCATTGAATCCTAAGCACCGGTGGGAGGACGAATCTGTCTTAAGGAGAGAGTGTCACACACTCGACTCGATCAGGTTTTATCTATTTATAGTTTTATCACGTTATGATGTCGATTTATTTCAGTTTTGGTTTTACCCAAAAATCGTTTACATTTTTAAATTATATTTTTCATATAGTTTGGTACTATTTTTCCAACAGGCGGCAGCGAAGCGACAATGACAATAGTGGTGAGATGACGGCGGCGGTGACACAACTGAACCTCACCCTTCCATATTTGCATTCACTATCTTATATATGTAAACACTAATAGACACACACAGATACATATGTATAACACACACACACACACATATATATATATATTTCACTCTATCCTTGTCAGCAATCCTCTCAGATTTAGATCCAGATCCAAATACTCAGCACCCAGAGATAACATTACAAAACACACAATTCCAAGAAACCCTAGCTCTGGATTGCCTAAATATTTAGTTATGTTTTTTTCTTTTAATAGAAATATTCACTATTCTTGCTTAAGAAAAACAACACAACCAGGATCAATATTTTTCTTCTCATTTCCACAATTGAAAATTGAGGTTCCCTGCTTTGATGTTTACTTTTCCATGGAAATTGATACAATTTTTTTTAATATTTATATATTTGGATTTCAGGTGTGTCTCCGTCGTTGTCGCTGTCGCCCTGTTGTTCGACCGTCAACAGTGACCTTGTTTCTCTGTTCGTCCGTTCGTGAGGTGCTTAGGATTTGAGAGCAGAGAAGAAAATAGGGGAAATGAAGAAAAAAGAATCAAAAAAAAAAAAAAGGTGCGTCCTCTTTGTCTTAAGGATCAATTCTCTATTGAAGACGATGACCGATAGAGAGAGAAAGAGCAACAACGGAGTTCAGTGCTCTTTTTTTTTTTTTTTTTTTGTGAAATTTGCCCCAAAACGATGTCATTTTGGGGCGCCGCAGGGACTGCCGCAGGATAAGGCAGCAGAGGATCCGGACTCATAGTCATTAGTAGTATTTTTATAGTGATAACCAAACATTACTAGGGCATTTTGAGAAGTGAGTTAAAAGTCATTTCCCAACTTTTAATGCACTTTCTCTATCACAGAAAAAAAAACTCAAAAAGTAAAAAAAAATAATCTTTAACCATCTTCCCAACACACGTTGTGGCTACCAAACCACTACATCTACTTCTACGTTTACCACTATTATAGTCATTAGTAATATTTTCAAGGTGATAACCAAACATAACAATAATAATAATAATAATAACAATCATTAATACATTAATTTTATAAAAAATTATTTTTAACTGCAACAAACAGAACGTTAAGTTGTGTTTGATTTATTTTATTTTATTTTAATAAAGAGCTCATAGGCCTTATTTGGTTTAACTTTCAAAACATAATTTTTGAAAAAAAATTTCAAAATTTTGTTTGGTTGGAAATTTTTTGCAAAAATTTTTCAAAATCACTTTTTATCTTTTACACATCAATCAATCACTTTTTCTCTCTCGTCTCTCATTCTCAATCACTTTTTCTCTTACACACATCTACTCAATTATAACAAAATATCAAATCATCTCAAATTCTCATATTCCAAAACTATTTCCAAAATATATAACCAAACAAATCAAAAAAATTTCTAAACTCTTTGCCTAGATTTTTTTAAAAAATTTATCTCTCAAAACCAAACTAAACATACCCTATATATCTGCTGTATAAGCTAAAGTCAACTTCCCTATTTGGATTTAACTTAATTAATTAATTAACAAACAAAAACAAAAATTAACAAACTCATCAACAACACTCATTTTGAGGATGTCAATTTTTTCCTAACTTTTATTTTTAGTGATCTTTTTTTAAAAAAAATTGTATTAAAAAAATTGACAATAAAAAATCAATGGAAGACCTCTATTGAGCACCAAATGCATAAGAAATCGAACTTTATGAATATATAAGAAGTTGATTATCTTAAATTAATATCAATTGTCATGATTTGTTACATTGACACAACTCAAATCTTATTTATATTTTCGTCCCAATAATATTACAGACACAGAAATTTCACAGAAAATATTCAGAATGCAATACCTGCATTCACCTTGGTACACAATCAATACTTATTTTTTACCATCTCCACAACCCGAGACCAAGCCGGCCTAGCCATAATTCTTGCACACCATGCACTAACCCTTGGGCGTGACTCGATGACTCGATTCATTGGTGTCTGCATGAGATAATACAAGTTAGGAAGGTGAGTTAGATCTGCAGAAGTGAATTTTTCTCCTCCCAAGTACTTGGATTCACCAAGTCGCTCTTCATAGATGTCCAGCACCTTAGCTAATTTTGCTTCCTCCTCTGCCACCGCGGTTGTGTCAGGTGTGAATCCATTTTTGGGCTTGAAGATTAGCTCATTGATAAGCTTCAGAGCTGGAGGATTGAATTGATGATCTTGCACATCAATCCAGGCAGCCACAACACCTTGTGTTAATGGGTCTTTGAATATGTGCTCTTTACCTGGTTTTGGATAGGCAAAGGCTATGAATCTCATTATAGCCCTTGACTCTGCACAAAAATAACACTTGATAATTATTTGACATATATAGATCATAATCTCACAAAATTTATTATCTTAATTTTTTGCCTAAAAATCCTAATTTCGAGGTCTTGAAGTTAATGACTGAATAAACCTCCAGTGACTCAAAATCGAAATCTTATTTTGTCCTAAATCTTTATGCCTCTACTAATCCATTATGTGTGTGTATAAGTTAAAGGTTGGAGATTTGTGAATCACTTACCAAATAAAGTCAAGTCGCCATCTTGAAATGCTGGTACCTCAGCAAATGGCTAGTAAAAGAAGTCATCAAATTAACCACATAAAAATATAAAAAGAAATACTCAAACTAAGTATATGAATCTGAGACAAATTGATTGAAATTATACTTAATTATGTATGAGAGAGAGAGAGAGAGAGAGAGAGAGAATACATTGAGAGAAAGAAAAGGCTCTTGTTTGTGCTCCCCAGCTTCAATGTCAATGGGTACAAACTCAAAGTCTAAGTCATGCTCATAGAGAGATGCCAAAACTCTTAATGTTGGTGGAGATGTTAAGGTTCCATAGACCTTCTTCAGGACAGCCATGAGAATCTCAGAGAGAGAGAGAGAGAGAGAGAGAGAGGGAAGTAAAATGAAGACGATGAGCAATTATTACATTCTCAAGAGGGTATTGTGATGAGGGTACTTTCTTTCATTAGAAAAAAAAAAAAAAAATTGATGTCTAAAAATAAAATGAAGATCAGCAACAATTATTACATGTTCAAGAGGGCGTTGTGACGCTGGTGCTTTTTCACATTTGAAAAAATAGATATCTCACTAAATTATTGCATACTCTCTTCTTGCGATCCCCACCCTTTCCCACTATAGATTAAAAAATATAATGAAAATTATATTGAAAAAAGAAAAAGAAAAAGAAAATATTTTGAAAAATATCTCATCAGATGGTCTCGTGGTAATTAAGCAATTTAATATTAAATTATCGGAAATCATATATTGTTATTTGATTAAAAGTGCAATAAGTTTATTGTTACAATAGACAAAATGAAAAATTAAAGTAAAATTTGATACAAAATGTATGGATATAAGTGTGGTTCATCCTTATTAAATAAAGTGATATACTACACTAACTAAAAAATAAAAGAAAAGAAAAAAAGTGTGACACTATATTTAGGATGTTTTTCTCCTAAGCATTTCCTCTCATTATGATGTAATTTACATTGATTACTTTTGAGAATTAGAAAAATAGAATATGTCCTATAATTTTATTGATACAATACATAAAAGGTAAATTACATTGAAACCCCTTGAGATTTATATTTATTACAGTTCTCCCCTCACATTTGGAAAATTACACTGACCTCCCTTGTCAGTGTAATTAATTGACGGTGTTAACTTTTAAGTTAAAATGACATATTTACCCTTAACTTTTACATTTACTTTAAAGGGTAAATTACATTGACACCCCTTGATATTTCAATTTAATATGAATCCCTCCCTGACATTAAAAAAAAAAAAAAACTAATTTAATAAAAATAAATATGAAGAAATATATTTAATTTGTAAAAAATTATTTCTAACCACTCGAAAGATAAAAGTTATATAAAAATGATAATTATTTTTTATTTTTTATTTCTTAACCAAATTAATTTTTAATTTTTGAATTTTTTTCTAAAAATCAAATTATACATATCCTAAGAATCTTTTAATAAGTCATTTCTTATGTTGGTAACTTATTTAATTATTTGTTAATTTTATAACATTTTACCATCTAAGGCCTGTTTGGTAACCATTTCATTTTCAGTTTTCAATTTATATTTACAAAAATTTTAAAAACTGTCATAAAACTTGTTTGATAATTTTTTTGGTTTATAAATGGTTGTCTCAGTTTGTAAATTTGAGGAAACAACATAAATTTAAAAAATGAGTTTACGTTGGTTTTTAAACAGAAATTTAAAAATTTGACTAACAATTTTTTTTTTCCAATTAATTTTTTTTTCAACTAATACTAACCGAGGGGACAATTAATGCTACTTTAAACCTTGGGGAGGGGATTGCAATTTCTAAAATGTGAGGGGTGTCAATGTATTGTACTTAGTGAGGGCAAAATTGATATTTAAAAATTTAAATTGTTGACATCAGTAAAATTTGTTAGTTGACTTAACAGTCAACTGTCAACTAACTGAGAGAGTAATCTGTAATGAAACTTTAAATCTCAAAGAGAGGAATGCAATTTTTAAAAGGTGAGTGGGGAAACTATAATAAATATAAATCTCAGGAGTGTCAATGTAATTTACCCATACATAAAATATGGGATCCATCGTCATAATATACTCATGACACCTAATATTATAAGCAAATTAAATATGAAAATTTAAAAATTCAATTACAGATGCAATTTAAAGCACCGTATTTTTTTCACTTTCTACTGATAACAATAATCAACCCCATACCGCGCACATATTAAAATTTTAATCTTCACAACATTACTCTAACTTGAGATCCTCTGCTACTTTGATGGAAGCTGGCCGTGAGGAAATGTCACTCCACCAAGCACTCAAGTGAGGCCGAGAGGTCACCATACTTGCCTTGGCGCTTCTCATGAAGAAAACAAGTTTTGGTATGTGGGTTAGATTGGCCAAGGTGTAAGCAATGTACTTAGATTTTGTCAATCTCTTCTCATACACATTGAATACTTTCTCAAGCTTCAAAGTCTCGGCCTTGATGACCTCCTCATTGGTAGGAATGCCTTCTAATGGATTCATCAATGTTTAGTAAATAATGGTTGATGTTCGTTGATTAAATTGGAGTGCCTCCACTTCCATCCATGTTTCAACAATGGCAGATTCTGAAGGGTTACTTAATCGAAGATGATCAAGTCCAGTGTTCGCGTGCTTGCGAGCTAGGTACCGTGCAATTGCTCTTGATTCTAGCATAAACCATATACCACCACAATAGCTAGGTACCGTGCAATTGTTGTGTTGTTGTGAGTAGTGGCAACTCCAGGAATTTTTGTCAGCGGTGTCAGTCAAAAACTTAAATGTTATATATCTTACAGAAAATTTAAATTAATCATAATATCACATATGGAGAAAAAAAAAATCAACAAATTAATTTAAATTATGAAATTATAAACAAAAATATTTCAATATATTGATACTATTGTTTAAACAAAAAGATATGCTAATACATGAGTTTCTACAATTGATTACGATGAGATTTCATATTTTGAAATCGTTACATAACAAACTCATTATCAATACTATCAAATACATCTTTCTCAATATATGTAACCAAACAATCATTCAACCATTGATCTCCCATTCGGTTACGCAATTGATTCTTTATGAATTTCATTGCTGAAAATGCTCTTTCCACCGTTGCAGTCGCGACTGGTAAAATCAACGCCAATTTCACAAGCAAATAGACTAATCGATATTTTATCTTTTCTGGTTCAGATTGCTTAGAAAAAAATACTTTCAATGTGTTGCTTTTGTTTCATAAGAACCTCACACTTCTTCACAACTTGATTATGAGCACTATTAAGACCCTAACATCAATTCCTAGCCTTTCTTTCTTGTTCCATGTTGTGAACCCTCCCGCCACAAAAGTGTCACCACCCGCTTGTTTACTGGTATCAAGTCTAAATAGATAACAACATAAGCAAAATACAGCATCCTTTTCTATGCTATATTCCAATGAATTATTGTTTTCTTTAAACCAAGCAGGATTAAAGCGACTCATGACTCCACTAATGTCTCGTTGAGGAAAATTGTGGTCAAGAGATTGACAAGGGCCCTTTTGTAAATATGCTCTTCTAATTTCATCCTGATTGTTAGGATGATAAGATGGAATTTTTTGTTGTAGCCCTGGGTTAGATGGAAGATTGTTCACATCTACATGACTTTGCTTAAAAGAAGTTTCTTTTGTAGGAGATGAATCGTTTACTGTTGATTTTCTTTTAAGAAGTTTGTCCATAGTGGTAGAACTAATTGGAAAAAAAATAAAAATAAAGAAAAACATTGTATATAAAACCACTCCAAATCAACCACTCATAAATCAATTACAGTGCAACATAACATCTCTGACAAAACATACACAAGCATTGAAGCATCATATGCATAATAATACATTTACAAATTACAAACAATTAGTGAGCCAAAAAAACAAAACTAAAGAAGAAAGAAAAAAAAGAGTCCTAATTTTTAGCCCCAAAAATATAAGGGGGAAATTAAACAGTATTGATGTTTTAACAAAGCATATACAAACAAAATATACATAATACATTTACAAATAAAACAATTATTGAACCAAAAAAAAGCCCTAATTTTTACCCTAAAAATTGTTGATTTATATTTGTTCTATCCAAAACACTATAAAATAGAAAAATGATTATACAAGATTTACCTAATAACCGAGTAGTTGATGTCGTTGGAGAAGATTGATGATAAAAAGAGAGAGTTATGGATGGAGAGTGGTGGATGAGAGAGAGTTTGAAGTGTCTCTATTTAACTCATGTCTTGCCTAAAGTTTGAAAAGAGATGGCAAGAATAGTTTAGTGTCCAAAACAAGATACAAACTATCACTTTATAAATAAAATATTTTAAACAAAAAGTAAACAAAAGAAAGAGACGTCAAGAATAGTTAGGTGTCCAAAGCAAGAATACAAACCATCACTTTACAAATAATATATTTTAAACAAAAAGTAAACAAAAGAAAGAAATAGCTTTACAAATAAAATATTTTAAACAAAAAGTAGGTAAAAGTCAAAAAGTAAACTTTTTTCATTGGTGGATTAAAAGTTTTAGGACTGAAAACTATAGGTTTAAAGTTGTATTTTAATAGATTCAGTTGCTGATTTTTTTCCTAAAATCTAATACTTATATAATAAAAAAATTTTAAAAAATCATCCAAGGGCTCGAGTGACACCCTTGGCCATGTGTTGGAGCCACTCCTGGTTGTGAAGGTGATTTTTATGGACCCAATTGTTCTCTCATTTCACTCTTATTTGAATCTTGCCGAATATGAAGGGTTGTTTTAAAAAGTTGATTAAAAATTGACTTTTTAATTTTTTTTTTGAATTTTTTTTAAAAAATGTTTAAATAATAGAGAGGTGATTTGACATAAAAATATCAAAAAAATTAAAAAATTAACTTTTAACCTGTTTACCAAAATAGTCCTAAGCTCGCTTGTTTCTTGCTCCCTTTGTCTGTATTTATGAGAAATAATTTAGTTTATCTTTCCTATTACAATTCAAATGGTACAACTTTTTGGTTTTAAAAAGTAAAAAAAAATTAAAAAAAAAATGCTAAATAAATTTATTTATCCCCAACTAAAAAAATCACACGTCAAATTAATTTTTTTACTCACATAAAAGTAAAATATTTAACTTTTAGTTTTTCAAGCTTTTAAAAAAAAAAACTATTAAAAACATCATAAATTTTGTAAAGTAAAATACTACTCCTATTAAAAATATCATAAAATTTCTAAAGTGATTCTAGGGACAATTCCAAAAGGAGGGATAGTGATGAAATTGAATTGGTAAAATCAAATCATTTTTTTGGTTTAGTTTTGGTTCAGTTCTAAAAGTTTCATGATTGGTTACTAAACTTCTAAAACAGTGAGAATTGATTTGGTTATTGATTTATCTCAAAATCCAATCAAACTGACTGACCACGTGCACTTTTAATTCTAATTCATTATCTTTTAAATCCTTATATGCATCATTAGTAATAAATAAAGAATTATACGCTAATCTTTCTTAACGTTTTTGAAACTATGGCCTCTCTTAGCAAAATAAAAAAAAGAAGTCAATTTATTAATTTATTAACTTATTTAAGTTACTCTTTTATAATTTTTTTATATATTTTTTCATAATAAGCCTTTAAGTTCATAAAAAATAAAAATAAATAAAGTCCCTGATATTAAAATTTTATAAAATAAATGACATACAATATTTTTATAGTAGTTAAGGTCCTTCGACATTTCTACAGAAAAAATTTGACTCAGAAAAATTTTAACTAACTCAGAGAAATTTCACTCCAATTCAGAGAATTTTTTACGATTTTACAGAGAAATTTCAAAAAAAATTTGTGATTCTCTGAGCTAGGGCCTAAATTTCTCTGAGTCAGGCAAAATTTCTCTGAGTCAAATTTTTTCTGTGAAAATGTTGAAAAACCTTAACTAATAAAAAAAATGAGACATTTACACACAAATCTTAATTTATGAACTTATACCTTATTAAGTCCTAACTAAGATTTTTTAAACCTTCACGTCCCATTAAATTTTTAATAGTCAGAATTGTCTTTCAAATAATGATTGTTCATCATTTATGATTATCTATAAAGAACATGATGATTTGATATTTATTTTAATTTTCAAAACTTTAAAATATCAATTTTCAAATTGAAAAAACTAAAGCAAAAAAACTTATGTGCAAAAAAAAAAAAAAACAATGTTTTACTTTTGAAAAAATTGAAAAAACATAATTATTTTTTTGTGCAAATTTTTTTTTAAAAAATTATCTATAAAGGAACATGATGATGGAACATTGATAGGCAAAATTAGAAAAAAAAAATTAAAAATGAAAAAACTGATAATGGTCTCAGTTTTAAAATTGAAAAAAAAACTGTTAATATTTTCGGTTTTATTGGATAATTGAATCAAATTAATAAGTAGAAGGCCAAAATGTTTAATCTCATGTTTTGTTTTTTTTTTAATTATCAATTAGTGTAATAAATATTTAAAACTTTACTGTGCAAAATTGATAGGTTTAAAAATTGAAAAAAATTGATAACATTCTCAATTTAATTAAATAAGACTTCTTGTTAAAAAATATCTTGAACTTTTTCTACTACACAAAGTCAAATAGAAATGTTTCACTAAATTTTTTTTTTAAAAAAAAAAGTTCCCAAAATAATTCTATGGGGGTGTTTGTTTCAGCTTTTCAGAACTAACTTATGGCTTTTAGCTTTGAAAAAGTTATTTTGGACTGTTTGATTAAATTTATTTCAAACAACTTCTGATTCTAACAGCTTATTTTAACTCAAAAAAGCTGATTCTGAGAAGCTGTTCACCCCTTACTTCTGATTATCAGCTTCTGCTGTGGACATGTTAATTTTTTGTTCTACTCTTAAAATTTTTTTATTTTTTATATTTTAAAAAATAGAAAAAGACCCAAATGGACTATGGATTATTATTATTATTTTTTATGAGAAATGTAGACAAATAAAAAATAAAAATTAATTGAAAAAGTTATTTCACAGCTTATTTAACAAACACTACTCAGCAACTTAAATCTATAATCCAACAGCTACACCAAACAGATTAACAACTTCTGATTAAAGTCATAATCTATAATCTGTTAAGTTATAATCTATAAGTTGTTTTAACAGTTACACCAAACGAGGCCATATTGATCGCTTTTATCAAGATTGTTGGCCCCCCCTCCCCAAAAAAAAAATTATCAATACACCTTTTGATATTTAATTAAAATATGAATCGGTTCCCGTAGTTTTAAAAATTACATTTCTTCTCTGAGGTTTTCAATTTCATAACAAATCGACTCTTTTATTAATAAATCATTAAGTCAATTAACAGTTTTTAATGATATTATAATTTTATTATTATATAAAAGAGCAATTATGAATTTCTTTCTTTTCTTTAATTATATTAAATAAAAAATTTTGACAATGAGATATTTGCAATTTTTCAAATTACAAGAAACAATCTATACTTTAAAAAAATCTCAAGAGATGTATTTATAATTTATCAAAAAAAAGAAAAAAAAAAGAGTATATTTCTGTATAAAAGCATATACCAAGAGGCGGGTAGTGGACCGTTGGGTTGTAAGAATAAGGGTAATTTGAAGGTCAAAATTTGTTGGCATATAATCAATTTTAATCAATACACCTTTTGATATTTAATTAAAATATGAATCGGTTCCCGTAGTTTTAAAAATTACATTCTTTCTCTGAGGTTTTCAATTTCATAACAAATCGACTCTTTTATTAATAAATCATTAAGTCAATTAACAGTTTTTAATGATATTATAATTTTATTATTATATAAAAGAGCAATTATGAATTTCTTTCTTTTCTTTAATTATATTAAATAAAAAATTTTGACAATGAGATATTTGCAATTTTTCAAATTACAAGAAACAATCTATACTTTAAAAAAATCTCAAGAGATGTATTTATAATTTATCAAAAAAAGAAAAAAAAAAAGTATATTTCTGTATAAAAGCATATACCAAGAGGCGGGTAGTGGACCGCTGGGTTGTAAGAATAAGGGTAATTTGAAGGTCAAAATTTGTTGACATATAATCAATTTTAGTTACTATCTCTAACAGTTGGATGACGAGGATGGTTTGTCGCGCTGCTAAATCCTATAAAAACAATAAGTGATTTTTATTTTTTATTTTTTATTTTTTTTCATAAAATTAAGTTTTAAACGTTTTCAGAAAATACATTTAAAAACTCAACCAAATAAATTTGATTTTCCAAAAAATTAAAAAAACAAAAACACGATCAAACAAGTGCAGAATCTTATTTCTCCACCCTCCATAAATCTAAGAATCAAACACAATTTAAGTCAATTATCATACACACACGCTGTAAAGCATGAATCCCTTTCATGGTGGAATGGGACACATACAAAGAACAAGAGCTGGATTCTACGCTGAATGCATATTCAAAATTAACAGCATGAACAAATCCATGAGTTTGGGTGCATGGTTAGTTACACCTCAATCACATAAACATGAAATGGCTCAAGCACACATGTGATACAAATGCTCATTAATATGTAATCAACTAAAATCTCCAACAGCAACTAAATTCAAATTTGATATAGTGCATGTCACACCCAAAATAAATTTGATGTACATATTTTATTTTCCCAGTATTTTTAAGAATACTATGGCCAAAGTTCAAAGGGAGAAAGATAAGGGGTGTGCGCGGTGTGGTTCGGACAGTTTAAAGATAAAATTACAAATCGAATGGTGGGTTAGTAGATTAACAAATTGCGGTTTGGACGATTTTTGACAGATTGACGGATTGAAGAATATTCTAACTAATTATCATACATTTGCATAATATATAACACTAATTTGTATAATATTTTTAGATATATAACACAGTAATTTTACATAAGAGCAAACTTTGCATTTTGCACAACTATAAGAGCAAACTTTTCACATGAAACCCTTTAAACTTTTCAGAATTTTTGTATAGAATTTTCAATACATAATGGTGTGGCTTCTTGTGATCTGCCCATTTCCAATGAAAACAAATACAATTGTCCTCAAAATTTCACAAATAACACTGCCACATCATTTTTGTCATGAATTTTGTATAAAAATATATAAGAATATCATTTTTGAACTGGTAATTATAATAAGCCTACTTGCAAATGTAAAGTCAGTAGCAACCATGAGATTCAAACCGAACAACAAAAAGCTCAAAATAAAAAACTGAAGACAGATAATATGTTCAAAACACATGTTCTCTAAGCTCCATATCAAAAGTTCTTGACTTTCTTTTTTGAAAAAACAAACACACCATAAGTTTCTGACTTTCTTTAAAAAAAAGAAAAATGGAAAAAAAAAAAAGAAAGTATATTACTCTGTCTATAACCACTATCCATACCCAATCAAGCCTTGCCTTTGTATGGCTAAATTACCTATGTTTTTTACCTGCACATGCTGAAGCAGAGAATGAAAACAGCACCAACAGGAGAAATCACTGGCATAGATGCATAGCAGAATCATAATGGTTTAAGTTGTCCTGACACTCAACTGAAAGGAGTTTTTTTACCAAACCCTTGTTATTTTGAAATAGATTTCCCAAATGCAATTGTTTTGAATTTATTTCTAAGACCCAGATTGTTCTTTAAAATCCTGTTTCCAAATCACAACTTCACACGACTTAAAAACAACATAGGTTTGGAAAATAAGTCCAAAATATGTTTTAAAATGACATGAGTTTAGTAAATAATTCCATCAGAAAATCATGGCAAGCCACTTATCCGGACGAACTCTTCAAATTGGCTACAATCTCACTGCACTTCTTCAACAGGTATAACATCTGCTGAGAAATGTCAACGCTGTTGGTTGGGGCACTGGCATTCTGATAGCTCTTGCTGCTCGTTGCCTCGCCTTGGAGATATTCCTTGTTGATGGCATTGACAATGTGACCAACACTGCGATTCTCATGCATAGCCGGGATTTGGGAAGGGAGAGAAAGCTGAGGCGGCAAAGTTGGGGACATTACCTGATGAAAGTTCGCAGCATTGTCCTTGATGGTTGTGCGTGAAGATGAAATAGGATTCAGATAATTGCCAATAATGGAGCCACTGATTTTGTTAATGCTTGGCAGCATTTTATCTTCCCCAGAACTTGCATTCCCCTCCAACTTGAATCTGATTTGTCGCGTCGCAGTCTTAACATTGTTGATAGACACCATTTCATCACCTGGCGACTTCTTCAGAATCGACTTTGGGGGGACACTTGGGTGCAGAGGCAACTGCGAAATTGCTGTAGACTTTGGTTCAAGAGATCTTTCCACAAGCTGCTTGCTTGACTCACCTGATTCAGGCAACTCTGGGGCTGAAACATTTAAAACATTTAAAACTTGCAAGCGGTAATTTACATTGATGTTGCCAAGGAAATTTCTGTTGAGGACTGCGTGATTATATGCACCAGACTTGTTCTTAAAAACAACCTTGGCAGTTGATGAATTCTGAAACACACGAGTGGCTGACTCGTAAAGATGTCCAAAGCGTACGAATTTCGCTTTTAGTTCTGGCACTGATGGCAGTTTTGAATGAAGCGGGAACTTCATCATCAACATTGCTGGTTCAGAAGGCCCCTCAAGTATTTCTGGCTTTGTCGACACTGATGAACCCACCATTTTTTCATCTCCTTGAATTTTCAAATGCTTCTGGCTGCCTTCCTTTTTTTCTGCAGCCAATGAACTTAGCTTCCTGTATTTTTTTGGTCTCTTCATGGACTTCTCTTCCTGTTTACGAGAGGATTGAGCCTTTGCTGGATCATCCGGTCTGAATGGCTTTTTCAATGGTTTTAGAGCAGAAGGTTGGTCCTTCACTTTCTCAATGTGGGGGGTCTCAATAAGTAAAGCAGTTGGTCCTTCATGTTGCGCAAGTATTGGATGCTTACCCGTAGTAATAACTTCTTTTCCTTTTCTGACATTCCCATCTGTATCCTGATTTCCCAAAAACTTAGGCTTCATAGAAACTGGTGGAACTCTATTTTCTGAGATACAAATACCAGCCTTGCCAAATTTTGGCACTTTGGAAGTTTTCTGATCATTGCTGTGTCTGGAAAGAGATTTTTTTCTCCTTTGTTGGTCCTTGACTTTTACCCTATCTTCAAAGGCCTTGCGTTTGCCTAGGCTTTCACTGATCATTGATTGACCACTCAATGGAGCTGTAAACAACAACAAAAATGCACTGTAAGTGAGAAAAGTAAAAGGCTACAATGTGAAGTGTTGTTCAATAAAAAACCAACAAAATTCTAGGCAAGTATATGCACAAGATTTGAAGATGAGCCATTAAAGGGATTTGGAAGAGGAAAAAACTCAGAGTGTTGGTCATTTAACTTCAGAACATTTTAGTCCCTGCTATTTTGGTTGGGTACAAAAGTCCGATATGGCCATTTTCCCGTAATATGTTCAATTTAAATGCCACAGTGATTATTCAAATTTTCTGGATTTCAATCATGGAGAATACAAAAAGACCAATAATCCTAAAGAATGTTCAGGAAACTTACCGTGGAAACAACAGGATTTCCTTGTAGCTAGTACATGTTAAAAAAGCCATCTAGAATGGCACACGTTCACATTCTCATCAGAAATGGCAGAATGAAAGCTAATACTATCCTCAGAAATTGATGGCTTTGTTTGTCTATTAGAAAAATGAAAAGCACAACAGAATGAAGGCAGAAAGTCATTCCTTAAACCCTTTCCCAGAATATCTTATTCTTCCCCCAGGACCAAACACAGTAACATGACAAACATACAATAAACTCAAATACTCAAATTCAAATCAATAAACTGGTGACAATGAATGCCACAATACAAGCCACATGAGGCAGCATCTATGCAAACTATCACAAGCTGCTTATCAGGGATCTGTTTGCATTAGAAGTTCAGAGATTGGGATGTCCCAGACACATCCTATGCAATAAGATGCTACAAACATAAGCAAAATTCAATGAATTAGCCCATGCTTCCATGTTTGAAAATCACACTATCCTTCTTCCTTAAAACTATGCTATCCAACAAGTACAAAGTAAATATTCTCGCAGTGATTTGAAGCATACGTCTAGAGATTGCAGCTTGTAAAACAGCCACTAAATGTAGTTCAGATAACTGTCACTGTCTAGGGTATTTTAAGGTATGACAGAGAATGAAGACTGCATATAGAATAGATGTATTAACTCTTGCTAACCCCAGCTTGGGCAGGCCAAGAGTAAAATTATCAATCATTCGATCACAATAATAATGATACTGAATTCTTATAAGTAAAAAAGCTACACACTGTTTCAACATAGTGCGATAATGTGGATGAAAATGTGCAATCCCATAATATGACAAACCCAGCATTAAATTTCAGGTTCAGTAATGCAAATGCTCCTCCGCGTTGATTGAAAGATGAAATTCTGTTCACCCACAATCTGATAACATAAATTGCATCCTGCAAAATATTCCTGCCCTCCTGGACAAATTGATTTCAAACATATTCCCAAGCAATGTTTAAAAGAAAATAGAGAGAAAATGCATATCCAAATCAATACATACCTTGCAGTGGTGCTTTTTCTGGGTTATGTAAACCCACCGCTGAAACTCCAGGGCGTACTGGTTGTACCCCGAATGCCTGAGCATAGGTCTCATCGAACTCCTCAAACACTGCCCTCCGATAAGCAAGAACTAAAGCTACATTATTCGTCCATTCAACATTTCTTTGCACATCATCCTGAGGCATCAATGCCAATTGTTTCACGAAAGAAAGTGTCTTGGATGGCTGGAAAGCATCTCTAGCTCTTTCGATCTGTTTCTTTGAATACAGACCACCAGGTTGAAAGCCACTCACATCCACTTCAAAGAACCCTTCAACACTTTTAGGGCGAAATATGTTAGGCTTCCGACAACGACAACTCAAGCCAAGTGCAGCTCTCCGCTTCACCTCATCCACAGCCTCCTCAACAGCAGTTAAAAATTCTGGAGTGTCAGTCTGCTTTGATTTCTCTGTAGAGTGAAAATCAAAAGGAATGAGTCTACCCGGTTCCAACCAACCATAGGTGCCATCACCATAAAATGCAACCAAAACTTGACCCTCTTTCTCCGCATGACAGATTGATGGGGAAGCTAAAGCTTCATCAAATATTTGCCCTGGCCACCACGGATGAGATTTGACCTTCCCCCATACCATATCGCCAACCTCATATCCTGAATCTTTTAATGCATCAAACATTTTGACTGCAGTGCCCTCATTCAATGTAGATTCCAAACTGCCGTGTGCGTCTCTACCTTTTCCATTTCCCTTGGTCACCCTTGAAGAAATCACATCTTCCTTTTCCATCACGGCCATCAAATGGGCCATCTTAGTGCTTCTAGGAGCAAATATATTGGTGCCCCCAATTGCCAGTTCCTTAGATTTGCTTCTATAATCTGCACCTTCCTTCTTACCATCACGGACCCTAGATTTCTTACACTGCTCATTCATTGATTTGACATTTTTGGCAGCTGAATTACCATTGGAAGCCTTAAGCTTAAGCCTGCTGTACATGTCCATTGAACTGTGTTCTGAAGAATTCCTTGTTTCCTCAGACCCCATTTTCTCTACTAAATGCCTTAGATCTTTAGTGTATTGAATATCACGATTTCTCTCGCCTGAAGAATTCCTAGTTTCTTCCTTTGTTCTGGCAGGTCAAATTTCTTGACTTCTCTCGCTTGCTCTCAAATCCCTAGAGCTTTAATGTATTGAATACGAATTGAATCATGAATACAGAAGATTCAGCAAAACCCTAGAGCCTTAAAAGCAATTTTTCCTGTTTTCCGAGCAAACAATTAAATCAAAACAGCTGCTACCAAAATCAAAATCAAATAATACCTTACCATTTTGAAAAGTACTTTCTTGCATGCAAATCAAACATTGAATTGGTTTTACTTTAAAAGCCATAGAATTAATCCCAATGTATATCTATAAGTTTGGAGATAAAATGTATCAAGGGCATAACCATGTATCAAAACCAGAAAACACATACCTTTTAGATCATCTAAGGAGGGCTTAAGTCTGCTGTACATGTCCATTGAACTATGTTCTGAAGAATTCCTTGTTTCCCCGGACCCCATTTTCTCTACAAATTCCTTAGATCTTTAGTGTATTGAATATCTTGATTTCTCTCGCCTGAAGAATTCCTAGTTTCTTCCCTTCTTCTGGCAGGCCAACTTTCTTGACTTCGCTTGCTTGCTCTCAAATCCCTAGAGCTTTAATGTATTGAATACGAATTGAATCATGAATACGGAAGGTTCAGCTAAACCCTAGAGCCTTAAAAACAATTTTTCCTGTTTTCCAAGCAAACAATTAAATCAAAACCGCTGCTACCAAAATCAAAATTAAATAATACATTACCATTTTGAAAATTACTTTCTTGCTTTCAAATCAAACATTGAATTGATTTTTATCCTAGTGTATACACAAAACATTAATTAAGTTTTATAAGTTTGGATATTAAATGTACCAAAGGCGTAAACATGTATCGAAACCAGAAAACACATACCTTTTAAGCAGATCGTCTAAGGAAATCATACACATTGACTGCTATACATAACATCTCATTTAAACCCTACGGTATCTATCTATATCTAAGCATATAGCGAGGGAGAGTGAGAGGGAAAGGGGAAAAATTGGGAGTATGATCTTTCAGTGTTAATGTGGACAAGGGTCCGATTGTGGTTACTAACAATACCAGCTCCACCGTAATCAGTACTCAGAGGAAGACATGTGTCAACATGGAAATTTTGTGAGCTATAATTTGTTACATGCACTTGTGCCACAATATTGCATAGGATGCTATATGATGTATTTGCAGCATAATATAATTGCACAAGCCAATATATACATACATACCATATACAAGCAAAAATTTACTTTTTGAGCAATGTTAATATTTTGGAATGTTAAGGTAAAATCACTAAAATTGAGTCAATTCATATTTTTTTAAACACAACACAAGCTATATCCTTAATTATACGTCGTTAATTTTCTATTTAATGCATCACATATTGTGCTATCTGATGTGTGCTTTTTTGTGATGCGACACGATGGAGGGTTATGTTTGTCGTGGAAAAACGGAAGGTGTTTGACTGACACATTGTACCTGCATACAACTTCACAATTATAAATGAATTAAGATATATATTTATTGCGGCACATAGCACAAAAGTTCCCAAAAAAAAAAAAAAAACTATTAACACATGAGGCATGATGTTTCTTTGTAAAATGCAGCAAGTATCAATTTGGCTATATGCGCGAGACTCATTGATTATTCATAGTCGAAATTCTTGTCTAATAAATTACTCTCTTTTCCACATCGCAGAAGTTTACATTTTCCATTTTTCAATGCATCAAGCACTCAATTTTAGTGCTTTCATCTGACATAGAATCTAAAAAAATCGAGAAATTTTGTTTTTTGACTTTCCCTCTCTCACTCCTCTATCTCCTTATCTCCCTTAAATTCACAGCCTCCAGTTCTCTCACCTGCATCAAATACACAATCCTAGTGATTTAGTGTGCTGTTCCCTATTGCAAACCTTTGGTTTTTTCAATAATTCCCTGTTTCCATACTATTTTATGAAACCTCATAGAATTAATTTCATCCCAAACCCTAAATTTCTTAGACCAACCAAAGATTTAACATTTTTTGACAACTGAATTACATGTCTCCCAGCATAAACCTACCAACCGAAGCCCCAACTTCAACTCCACTTCTATGGCGGTGTTTGGGAACTTGGTTTTTGGGTTTTTGGGTTTTTGGGTTTTTTTTTTTTTTTTTTTTTTTTTTTTTTCCGTTTTTTTCATTACAAGACAAATGTTTTACAAAACCAAAAAAAACAAATCCAAACAAAATATCACATCAAACCCTATAATCATTTCACTTTTTCTCTCACAAACATCACAACCAATCACAAAAAAACCCAACTATCTTCCCAAACACAAAAAAAAATTTCTCCAATAATATCCTACAATTAAAAAAACCTACAAAAAAACCCACTTCCCAAACACCCACTATATGTCTGTTTAATTTAATAGAGTTCCGAATAATTCGCAGTTGCCTCAAACCCCAATTTCATTCACAATTCCTCAAACCACCAAATTCACCACATCTGAAGCCCTTCAAGCCATATTATAATATGCTTGATAGGCGTGTGTATCTGCTAAAAACCCAAACACAGATGTCACATAGGCGACAAAGGTTGAGTTCAATGTATTGCATACTTGTTATCTCATGAATATATCATAAGATTAATATATAAGCAAAAGCTAGAAGCTTTATTTAGTTGTCATCTTTTAGAGTAGTTTTTTGCATTTAATGCAAATCGTAAAAACAAGACAGCTGCTACCAAAATGCCAACAAAACAAGATGTAGCATCTTTCAATGTGCATTATTGCTTCGGAGCCAAATATTGAATTAATTTATATTCCTGAAAAGCCATAGAAGTAATTTCATTATGTAAATAAAATATTAACTAAGTTCTAAGCATTCAATGACTGAGATAAAAGTGATACTTTGTGAGAGGTAACTATGCATTATAATTGTGAATGTGTTAGGTGCATCCATACTACGTTAGTTGCAATACTAGTGGTAGAAAATACCAATATAGTGAACATGGCACGTGTATCAAATGTGCAACATCACTAATTTTTGCATAGTCAAATTTCTATCTAATAATTCACCCTCTTGCCATGTATCACAAAAAGTTTTTGTAAACCATCTCTAGCCCTTTCAACTTGCTTCACTAAATACACACCAGCTTCAACCCCACGCACATCCTCTTCAAAGAACCCTTGAACACTTGTAGGGCAAAATTTATTAAGGTTCCAACAAAGTCAAGCCAAATGTAGCTCTCCACTTCACCTCAACCTTAGCCTCCCCAACAACAGTTATAAAGGTCTGATTGTTAGTCTACATCGATTTCTTTGTATAGTGAAGATCAAAAGAATTGAGTCTAATTCGTTCAAACCATTCATAGGTGCTATCACCATAAAATGTAACCAACACATGACCCTCTTCCTTTGTGTTACAAACTGATGGAATCATATCCACCTCATGTCCATATCCCAAATCTATCAAATTTCTTTTGTCAATGCATCAAGCATTTTGAGTGCGGTGCCTTCATCTAATGTAGAATCTAAAATATCAAAAACCAAATTGCCACATGCCTCTTACTTCTCCATTTCCCTTTATCACCCTTGAAGGAATCATTTCTTCCTATTCCATCATGGCCATCAAATGTGCCATCTTAGTGCTTCTAGAAGCAAATCTATTGGTGCCCCCAATTGCCAATTCCCTAGATTTGATTCTAGAATCTATACCTTCCTTTTTCTTACCAATTCCTATGGAATTAATATCATCATAGATCCTAAATTTATTACACTACAATTCATTAATTTCACATTTTTTATACCCGAATAAAGATGTACAATTTTAAGTTGAACAATTTCTTACCACGTACTATTTTACATTGAACAATTTCTTACGCTAAATTTTTTTCTAAATTTCTTACACTAAACAATTTCCTTCTTTCAATGCATCAAGCATGGCACCTTCGTACAATGTAGAATCCAAAAAATCAAAATCCAAATTGACATCTCCCTCTCTCTCTCTCTGCCTTCATCCAATCTTAGAGGTAACTGTGCATTATAATTGTGAATGTGTTGAGTGCATTCATGCTATTTTAGTTGCAATACTAGTTGTAGCAAATAGAAATAAAGCGTGCATGGCACATGTATCAAATGTGCAACGTCACTAATTTTTGCAGAGTCAAATTCTTGTTGTATCTCAAATAGTTTTTGGAAACCATATCTATCCCTTTCGATCTGCTTCACTGAATATACACCTCCAGGTTCAAGCCCATTCACATCCACTTCAATGAACGTTAGTAGGGTGAAATTTCTTAAGGTTCTAGTAACAAGAAGTCAAGCCCAATGCAGCCCTTCAATCGCCTCAGACAATGTAGAATAAAAAAAATTGAAATCCAAATTGCCACATGCCTCTTACATCTCCATTTCCCTTGATCACCACTGAAGAAATCACAACTTCGTGAGACACCTCCAGGTTCAAGCCCATTCACATCCACTTCAACGAACGTTAGTAGGGTGAAATTTCTTAAGGTTCCAGTAACAAGAAGTCAAGCCCAGTGCAACCCTTCAATCACCTCAAACAATGTAGAATAAAAAAATTGAAATCCAAATTGCCACATGCCTCTTACATCTCCATTTCCCTTGATCACCACTGAAGAAATCACAACTTCGTTTTCGGTCAAGGCCATCAAATATGCCATCTTAGTGCTTATAGCAGCAACTCTATTGATGCCCACAATTGCCAACTCCTTAGATTTGATTATAGAATTCATACCTTCCTTTTTTTACCAATTCCTATGGAATTAATATTGTCACATATCCTAAATTTTTTACAACAACAATTCATTGATTTGAAATTTTTGATAGCCGAATTACCATATACAATTTTACACTAAACAATTTCCTAAATTTCTTACACTAAGCAATTTTCTTTCTTTCAATGCATCAAGCATTTCAAGCATGGGGCCTTCATCCAATGTAGAATCCAAAACAACAAAATCCAAATTGACATCACAGTCATTGCCTTCATCCAATGTGAAACGTAACTATGCATTATAATTGTGAATGTGTCATGTTCATTCATGCTATCTTAGTTGCAATACTAGTGCTAGAAAATACCAGTATAGTGAACATGGCAAGTGCATCAAATGTGCAACATCACTAATTTTTGCATAGTCAAATTTCTATCTAATAATTCACCCTCTCGTCATGTATCACACAAAGGTTTTGGAAACAATCTCTAGACCTTTCAATTTGCTTCAATAAATACACACCACCAACTTCAAGCCCACACACATCCTCTTCAAAGAACCCTTGAACACTTGTAGGAAAAATTTATTAAGGTTCCAGCAACAAGTCAAGCCAAATGTAGCTCTCCATTTCACCTCAACATCAACCTCCCCAACAGCAGTTAAAAATGTCTATGTTAGCTGCTTTGATTTCTTCGTATAGTGAAGGTCAAAAGAATTGAGTCTAATTCATTCAAGCCATTCATAGGTGCTATCACCATAAAATGTAACCAACATGTGACCCTCTTCCTCTGTGTTACCAAATGATGGAATCATATCCACCTCATATCCATATCCCAAATCTATCAATTTTTCTTTTATCAATGCGTCAAGCATTTCGAGTGCGGTGCCTTCATCCAATGTAGAATCCAAAATATCAAAATCCAAATTGCCACATGCCTCTTACTTCTCCATTTCCCTTTATCACCCTTGAAGGAATCATTTCTTCCTATTCCATCACGGCCATCAAATCTGCTAACTTAGTGCTTCTAGGAGCAAATCTATTGGTGCCCCCAATTGCCAATTCGTTAGATTTGATTCTAGAATCTATACCTTCTTTTTTCTTACCAATTCCTCAGGAATTAATATCATCACAGATCCTAAATTTATTACACAACAATTCATTAATTTCACATTTTTGATAGCCAAATAACCACGTACAATTTTACGTTGAACAGTTTCTTACCACGTATTATTTTACATTGAACAATTTCTTATGCTAAACAATTTCCTAAATTTCTTACACTACACAGTTTCCTTCTTTCAATGCATAACACACAATGCCTTCATCCAATGTAGAATCCAAAAATCAAAATCAAAATTGATGTCTCCCTCTCTCTCTCTGCCATCATCCACTCTTAGACGTAACTATGCATTACAATTGTGAATGTGTTGAGTGCATTCATGCTATGTTAGTTGCAATACTAGTTGTAGCACATAGCAATAAAGCATGCATGGCACGTGTATCAAATGTGCAACATCACTAATTTTTGCATAGTCAAATTCCTTATCTCAAAAAGTTTTTGGAAACCATATCTATCCCTTTCATTCTGCTTCACTAAATACACACTGCCAAGTTCAAGCCCACTCACATCCACTTCAACGAACGTTAGTAGGGCAAAATTTGTTAAGGTTCCAACAACAAAAAGTCAAGCCAAGTGCAGCTCTTCAATCACCTCAAGCAATGTAGAATCAAAAACACAACTTGACATGACTTAAAAACAACTTAGGTTTGAAAAAATAAGTTCAAAAACAGTTTGTATTTAGGAAATTTGTTTTAAAATGGCATGAGTTTAGTAAACAACTCCATCCAAAATGGCAAGCCACTTATCCGGACGAACTCTTCAAATCGATTACAATCTCACTACACTTTTTCAAAAGGTATAACGGCTGCTGAGAAACGTCAATGTTGTTGGTCGGGGCACTGGCATTCTGATAGCTCTTGCTGCTCGTTGCCCCCGCCTTGGGGATATTCCATGTTGATGGCATTGACAATGTGACCAACACAACGATTCTCATGCAGAGCCGGGATTTGGGAAGGAACAGAAAGCTAAGGCTGCAAAGTTGGGGGTATTACCTGATGAATGTTCGCAACATTGTCCTTGATGGTTGTGCGTGAAAATGATACACGATTCAGATAATTGCCAATAATGGAGCCACTGGTTTTGTTAATGCTAGGCAGCATTTTCTCTAACTTAGAACTTGCTTTCCCCTCCAACTTGAATCTGACTTGTCGAGTTGTTGATAGACACCATTTCATCACCTAGCGACAAAGGTCGAGGTCAATGTATTGCATACTCATTATCTCATGAATATATAATAAGATTAAAATATAAGCAAAAGCTAGAAGCCTTATTTAGTTATCATCTTTTAGAGTAGTTTTTTGCATTTACTGCAAATTGTAAAAACAAGACAACTGCTACCAAAATGCCAAGAAAACAAGATGTAGCATTTTTCAATGTGCATTCTTGCTTCGGAGTCAAAAATTGAATTAATTTATGTTCCTGAAAAGCCATAGAAGTAATTTCAATATGTAAATAAAATATTAACTAAGTTCTATGTAACGCCCTCAAAATAATAAAAATTGTAAAAACAAGACAACTGCTACCAAAATGCCAAGAAAACAAGATGTAGCATTTTTCAATGTGCATTCTTGCTTCGGAGTCAAAAATTGAATTAATTTATGTTCCTGAAAAGCCATAGAAGTAATTTCAATAGGGTAAACCTGGGATCGCTATATTCTAAGCATTCGATGACTGAGATACAAGTGATACTTTTTGAGAGGTAACTATGCATTATAATTGTGAATGTGTTCGGTGCATTCATACTATGTTAGTTGCAATACTAGTGGTAAAAAATACCAATATAGTGAACATGGCATGTGCATCAAATGTGCAACATCACTAATTTTTGCATAGTCAAATTTTTATCTAATAATTCACCTTCTCGGCATGTATCACAAAAAGCTTTTGCAAACCATCTCTAGTCCCTTCGATTTGCATCACTAAATACACCACATGCTCTTCAAAGAACCCTTGAACACTTGTAGGGCAAAATTTATTAAGGTTCCAGCAACAAGTCAAGCCAAATGTAGCTCTCCACTTCACTTCAACCTTAGCCTCCCCAACAACAGTTATAAGGGTTTGATTGTTAGTCTGCATAATTTCTTTGTATAGTGAAGATCAAAAGAATTGAGTCTAATTCGTTCAAACCATTCATAGGTGCTATCACCATAAAATGTAACCAACACGTGACCCTCTTCCTTTGTGTTACAAAATGATGGAATCATATCCACCTCATATCCATATCCCAAATCTATCAATTTTTCTTTTGTCAATGCATCAAGCATTTCTAGTGCGGTGCCTTCATCCAATTTAGAATCTAAAATATCAAAAACCAAATTGCCACATGCCTCTTACTTCTCCATTTCCCTTTATCACCCTTGAAGGAATTATTTCTTCCTATTCCATCATGAACATCAAATGTGCCATCTTAGTGCTTCTAGAAGCAAATCTATTGGTGCCCCTAATTGCCAATTCCCTAGATTTGATTCTAGAATCTATACCTTCCTTTTTCTTACCAATTCCACAGGAAGTAATATCATCATAGATCCTAAATTTATTACACTACAATTCATTAATTTGACATTTTTGATAGCCGAATAACCATGAACAATTTTATGTTGAACAATTTCTTACCACGTACTATTTTACATTGAACAATTTCTTACGCTAAACAATTTCCTAAATTTCTTACACTAAACAATTTCTTTCTTTCAATGCATCAAGCATGGTGCCTTTGTCTAATGTAGAATTCAAAAAATCAAAATCCAAATTTATGTATCCCTCTCTCTGCCCTCCTCCAATCTTAGAGGTTGAGTTGAGTGCATTATAATTGTGAATGTTTTGAGTGCATTCATGCTATGTTAGTTGCAATACTAGTTGTAGCAAATAGTAATAAAGCGTGCATGACACATGTATCAAATGTGCAACATCACTAATTTTGCATAGTTAAATTCCTATTGTATCTCAAAAAGTTTTTGGAAACCATATCTATCCCTTTCGATCTACTTCACCGAATACACACCGCCAGGTTCAAGCCCACTCACATCCACTTCAACGAACGTTAGTAGGATGAAATTTATTAAGGTTCCAACAACAACGAGTCAAGCCAAGTAAAGCTCTTCAATCACCTCAAACAATGTAGAATCAAAAAAATTGAAATCCAAATTGCTACATGCCTCTTACATCTCCATTTCCCTTGATCACTATTGAAGAATCACAACTTTGTTTTCCGTCGCAGCCATCAAATGTGCCAACTTTGTATCCTCATAGATCCTAAATTTTCTACAACAACAATTCATTGATTTGAAATTTTTGATAGCCGAATTACCATATACAATTTTACATTGAACAATTACTTACCGTGTACAATTTTACACCGAAAAATTTCCTAAATTTCTTACACAACAATTTTCCTTCTTTCAATGCATCAAGCATTTCAAGCATGGGGCCTTCATACAATGTAGAATCCAAAACATCAAAATCCAAATTGACGTCGTAGTCTTTGCTTTTATCCAATGTGAAACGTAACTATGCATTATAATTATGAATATGTTATGTGCATTCATGCTATGTTAGTTACAATACTATTTGTAGCAAATATCAATAGAGCGTGCGTAGCACATGCATCAAATGTGCAACATCACTAATTTTTAAAGTTCTTTGTAATACTTCACTTTCTAGCCTTGTATCACTAAAAGTTTTTAGAAACCATCTCTAGCACTTTCAATCTGCCTCACTGAACATACACCATCAGGTTCAAGCCCACTCATATCCACTTCAAAGAACACTTGTAAGGCAAAATTTGTTAGTGTTCTGCCAACAAGAAGTCAAGCCAATTACAACTCACTGGTTTACCTCATCCCTAGCCTCCCCAACAACAATAAAAAATGTCTAATTATTAGTTTGCTTTGATTTCTTTGTATAGTGAGGATCAAAAGGAACGAATCTAACTGGTTCAAACCATAAAATGCGACGAACACATGATCCTCTTCCTTCGTATTATATATTGATGGAGAAGCTAAAGCTTCATCAAATATTTTCCCTAGCCACCAAAAATGTTATTTGACCTTTCCCCAAACCATATCTCCCAACTCATGTCCATATCCCAAATTTTTCAATTTTCCTTTCTTCAATGCTTCAAGCATTTCAATTGCGGTGCCTTCATCCAATGTAGAATCTAAATCAAAATCCAAATTGTCATCTAGCTTCTCCATTTCCCTCGATCACCATTGAAGAAATCACAAATTTCATTTCCATTACGGCCATGAAATGTGCCATCTTAGCTACAAATCTAATTGTCAACTCCATAGATTTGATTATAGAATCCCTACCTTCCTTTTCTTACCAATTCCTCTGGAATTAATATCATCACAGATCCTAAATTTCTTACACTAAACATTCATCGATTTGACATTTTTGATAAATGAACTATCACATACTATTTTACACTAAACAATTTCTTATGTTGAACAATTTTCGTTCTTTCAATGCATCAAGCATTTCAAGAGTGGTGCATTCATCCTATGCAAAAACAAAATCAAAATTGATGTCTCCCTCTTTGCCTTATTCTAATGTTATGCATTATAATCGTGAATGTGTTGTGTGCATTCATGCTGTGTAAGTTGCAATACTAGTTTTAGCAAATAGTAATAAAGTGTGCATGGCAAGTGCATCAATTGTGCAACGTCACTAATTTTTGTATAGTCAAATTTCTAGTGTTTTTTTGGAAGAAACAGTTTGGAACCGTTACGTAACGGTGCTGTAACAGCCGTAACGGCCTGTTACGACCGCTACGGCAGCCGCTGCGGCCGACACACCTGTGAATCTCAATCACACTGCAAAAGCGGCCGTAACGTGTGGCGGTAACCGCCAAAACCGTTACGTAACGGCGTTACGTAACGGTTGCGGCCGCTTTTTAAAACCTTGATGGCAAGTGCATCAATTGTGCAACGTCACTAATTTTTGTATAGTCAAATTTCTATTTAATACTCTCTCTCATCTCATATCATAAAAAGTTTTTCGAAACCATCTCTAGCCCTTCCTATCTGTTTCATTGAATACACACTTCCAGGTTCAAGCCCACTCACATCCACTTCAAAGAACACTTGTAGACCGAAATTTGTTAAGGTTCCACAACAACAAGTCAAGACAAGTGCAACTCTCCCGTTCACCTCATCCTAACCTCCCTAATAACAATTAAAAATGTCTGAGTGTTAGCCTGCTTTGATTTCTTTGTATAGTGAATATCAAAAGGAATGAGTTTTACTTGTTCAAACCATTCACAAGTGCTATCGCCATAAAATGCAACCAACACACGACCTTCTTCCTTTGTATTATAGGCTGATGAAGAAGCTAAAGTTTCATCAAATATTTTCCTTGGCCATTACAAATGTGACTCGATTTTTTCCCAAACCATATCTCCCACCTCATAACCATACCCCAAATCTTTCTATTTTCTTTCTTTCAATCCATCAAGCATTTCAAGTGTGAAGCCTTCATCCAATGTACAATAAAAAAAAAAAAAAAATCCAAATTGCCATGTGCCTTTTGCTTCTCCATTTCTTTTGATCATCCTCGAAAGAAATCACAACTTCCTTTTCCATTGTGGTCATCAAATGTGCCACTTTAGTACCTTTAGCAACAAATCTATCGATACTACCAATTGCAACTCCTTAGATTTGATTATAGAATCCAAAAAATAAAAATTTATATTGATGTCTCCGTCTCTAACTCGTCTATAATACCTTTATCAACCTAGAAAGAATTGTAGCTTCTTGTTTCATTTACGACCATCAAATGTGTCATCTTAATGGTTCTATAGTAAATGTGTTGCCTTAAATTGCCAACTCCTTAGGTTTGATTATAAAATCCATACATTTCTTTTTCTTACCAAGCAAAAGCAACATATACCCTAAATTCCTTACATTGAACATTCATTGATTTGACATTTTTGACAACTGAATTACAATGTCTACAAGTGTTAACCCTACCATCAAAAGCACTTAACTCTATTGTACACGCCCATTTAACTACGTATATGTTGTAACAAATTCTTACTTTCCTTATCCCATTTTGACTATAAAACTCCCAAACAATTAATTTACCTCCTACGAATCCCTTCGAGCTACCATTAATTTACTAATCTGTAGGACACTTCATAAACATAACGGACACATGCACAACAAGTTCTCTTATTATTAAAAAATAAAATTAACATTAAAAATCAGACTTGGATATGCTTTGGGTAGTTGGGAGACACACATATCCATTGCTTAGACATATATGAAATACAATACAAAGTTTGAACAAAGTTACTTAGGATCTAATGATACAAAAAAACAATATTAATTTATACTTATTAATCCATCCTCCTTTAAACCTTAAAAAATGTGTTTTGTTAGCTTGTTTGTGTCTTGTCACATGTCTTTGTCTATGGGAACCTGTTCTGTCGGTGGTGATGTAGACATGGGTGCTTTGGTGGTGCTACTAACAATACCAGTTCAGCCATAACCACTGCTCGCCTGCAGAGGAAGACACATGTCAACATAGGAATATTGTGAATTGTGATTTGGTACATGCAATTTTGCCAGAATATTGGATAATTTCAAAGCTTACAATCTAATAAATATAATAATATTTTATAGGATGCTTTGATGTATTTGCAGCACAATGTAATTGCACAAGTAATTATATATATGTATATATTTTTTTTAATTCATGACACAAGCAATTATATACCATATATAAGTAACAAAAATTTATTTTTGAGCAATGTTAATATTTTGGAAGATCACTAAAAATGAGAACCAATATTTTTCAAACTATAACACAAGCTATATCCTTAATTGTATACAGATTTCAATTTAATGCATCGCATATTGTGGCCATGTGCATTCAAGCTGTGTTAGTTGCAGCAATAGATTGTGCATTGCACGGCATCAAAGTGCAGCATCATTGATTTTGGCATAGTCAAATTTCTAAATCTATCTAAAAATTCACCTTCACTCCTTGTATTACAAGTAGTTTTCAATATTTCTTTTTTTCAATGAATCAAGCATTTCAATCAAAGCATCTTCATAGCTTCCTGTCACCAAACTCACTACCATTAAATTTACCATCTTAGTGCTTTTAGCAACAATTCTGTTTCTGCCCCCAGTTACTAAACTTTTTTAATCCCAATTATAGAATTTATACCTTCCATTTTCTTAGCATTCTTACATTGACATTTTCAACATCTAAATTACCATGTCTGGCAGCACAAAACCTACCATCCCTGGCCCCCAATTTTAACTCTGTTTTACCTATCGATTGAATGAGTTCTTGACAATGTCTAGTGTCGTTAGACCGATGTCATTTTTTCTTTTAAAGAATCGAAGGAAATGAAAAGCAATGTTCAAAACAAGAACATCAGACGAGGGTTACCGCTTGTTAAATTAGCAATCAGTAAACCTCTAATCGATTCAGGAGGTTCATCATCCATCACAACAAGGTGTCTCTAAATTTAAAACCCATCATAAGTGTTTACATAATTGACAAAGTTAAAGCGCATTGCATCCTCCTTATGCTTCCAAAGCAAAACCCCATACCCTTAATTTTGCCAAATTTTCAAAAACCCACATAACTACTACCAAAATGTAGGCAAACAACAAGTTGGCATTCTCAAATAACTTTTCTTGATTTGGAATCAAATATTGCATTGATTTCTATATCCTAAAACCCAAAAAAATCAATTAAGAAAGCAATCCCAATATGCAAATGAAATAATGAAAGTTTCAAACCTGGTTCTTTAATGAAACCACACACATTGTTGCTATGCATTCTGCTTGCTTAAACCCTAAGATTTATGTGTATATATACATATATTTACATTTAGAGAGAGAGAGAGAGAGAGAAGCAATGGAAGGGACGTGCTCTGCTTACTACTAATGGGAAGCAGAGAGTACACACATGCCACCTCAGCCTTGGAAAGGGACGTGCCCTGCTTTGCTCTGCTTACTACTAATGGGAAGCAGAGAGTACACACACACCACCTCAGCCTCGGCGCAATACAGTACTCGCCCATATAGAAGGACCCGTGTCCTCAATGGTATTTTTTGTGATCCCCTCTGCAAGCCTGCAACCATATTTTTTACAAAGGAAGTTGTTTGTGCAATCATCCAATCAGTTTTGAGGGACTCATTTCTATTTATGTACCCATGATTTTGTTATATTTTTAAAAATAGTTTGATAGTAATTATACGTTTTAAAATCATTTGTTTACTTTTTGTTAATAATTATAATAAAATTATATGACCCTGTTTAATAACAAGAACTAATGAGATCAACTTTAAATTATTAAAATAAAATTTGTCATGAATCTCACAAAATCAAATTGTATCATGCAATATAGGCTTATTTTGAAAACACAGTCAAAAATCAACTTTTTATTATTATTTTTTTGTCACATCACTTTTTTACTTTTTATACGTTTTTAAAAAAATTAAAAAGTCAATTTTTAACCTGCTTCTCAAAATAGATCACAGTTAATGGACTATATACAAGCTAAACTCATTTTAAAAGGTGCAACGAAAACGCATTTTGTAATCTTCAATGGGATTTATGAAATTCCTTTTAACATGTTTAGATTTTAGTATAATTTAGTTTAAGTTTTAGAAATAAAAGGAATTTAAAAAATAATTTATATTTTATTTATATTTCTCTTTTACTTTCTTTTATGTTCATAGTATTTTTTTAAAATTCATAATTCAATGCACAATATATGCATTCACAAGGATTGATTTAACTACCAAAACTTATATTATATGATTTTTTAATTATTTTTTTATAAAAATAAATTTTTTAAAATATATTTCTAATATTAATTTCTGTTAAAAATTTTAAATATTTGAAAAAAAATTGAAATGCAACCAAACAAATTCCAATTATTTATTTATTTTTTAAATTTTAGGATGAGGCAATTTAAAGAACAATTGGTAGGACAAAAATAGGTTCAAAAATGCACACATATAGGAGAATTCTATTATACACAGTCTATACTATATGCACTATTAGCTACGTCATTTTTTTCTTTAGTTATGACATTATTTTTAGATATTTGATTATGATTTTTTTTTATATTTAGTTATGACTTTTTTTTTTAGTTATGACTCAAAAATTAGAGTTATGCCATTTTTTTTCTATAGTTATAAACTACATATGATACACACCTTTTGAGAGAGTGTGTACCACCTTCCCTACATACATATATACAGACTCCATATCCATGATAAGGAAAACTCTATTGACCCAGATGTATCTCCCAGAATTTTTTGAGTGAATGATTGTTTCGTGGGGATTAAATTTATGTAGTGTAGGGTTCATAGGAAACTCTATTAACCCAAACTTATTCACTCAAAATTTTTTAGACAAATGATTGTGTAGTAGAGATTAATTTTTGGATTAATAAAGGTGGATTTGTAATATTACTCGATATGCATATATAGAATAAATCTGAATAATAAAATGCCGATTTTGAATGATAAGGGTGGGTGGTAGTATTATTCCCATGACAAAAGCATACACCAAGATACACATAACTGTTTACCTGAATCTAATCCAGAAACAACCCTAATTTCCAATTCAATCAATGATTATTACATAATATAGTAATTTCTCTAGGTTGTTGCTACTTCTTCCTTATGCAGCTCCTCAACTATCTATCTATCACCTTATCATTCCCCTATGTTTTCCCTTCTAATTTCTCCATGCTTTCATTTTTTCGAACAAGTAATGTGCATAATTTCAAGGGAGGGTTAGTGAGTGAGTGAGAGTGTTGGGAAGATTGATAAAGAGAGAATCACTGTGAGAGGAGGGTGAATTCAATTCTGTTTTCCTTTTATGAATTGGGTTTGTCATGGGTTTGTTAATCAAAGTGGGTTTGTCTATGAATTGATGAAGTAGATGATGGGTCTATTATGTCTGTAAATGTGTGTATGTTTGTATATATATATATACACAGAGAGAGAGAGAGAGAGAGAGAGAGAGATTTTGGAAGGGAGAAGAGAATAGGTGGTGCTCTGTTTTTGTTGCGTGAAGAGGGGTGAAGGAACAGAGCAGAGAGAGAGTGGAGAAGAATAGGCGGGTAGTGGAGCGTTTGGTTGTAGGAATAAGGTGGAATATTTAAGAATAAGAGTAATTTAGGGGTCAAAATTTGCTGACATAACCAATTTCAGTTACTATCTGTAACAGTTAGATGACGGAATATTTAGGAATAAGTGTAATTTAGAGGTCAAAATTTGCTGACATAACCAATTTCAGTTGCTATATTGAATGGATTTCAGTTACGATACCTAACGGTTAGATGACGAGAAAAGTCTGTGCATAGAGGCTGCTAAATCCTATAAAAATAGTAAGTGCTTTTTATTTTTTCTTCTTCATAAAATTAAGTTTTGAATGTTTTCAGAAAACACATTTAAAAACTCAACTAAATAAATGTGATTTTTCAAAAAACTAAAAAAACAAAAACACAATCAAACAAGTTTAGAATTCTCATTTCTTCACCCTCCATAAATCTTCAAACACAATTTAAGTCAATTATCATGCGCACACACTATAAATCTTCAAATAGAATTTTGAGTTTGATTCCATAGAAACCATTCAAAAGGCAGATATCGACATACCACATGGCCAAATTCATGGAAAAGATTAACCACTCCAGAGTATCTCAACAACCCAATATGACCAACTCCTTTTGAAGCTGAGAAGTAAGTAATGCCACAGGAATCTACATATAGAAATTGAGGACAAATCAGTAAGACATATTAAAATTGTGATCAGCTTACGATACTTTAACATATATGAGAAGTTGTGGACTATGTCTTCTACTGCCCAACCATGTATAACATTTATATCAAAAAAACCAACACCTATATTATTAGAGACATAATGGCACCGGACTGAACCTTGAGAAGAATTTTCAAGTACAAAACAAACTCTCATGGTGGCAAGGGAATCCAACACAAAGCAGATATACATCCAGCAACAGAAATTTTTGCCTTTTTTTCTGTTGAAAGCTAAAAAAAATGTAATTCTACCATGCTAATCAAACATGCTTTACGCATTTGATCCTGTCCCTACTAAACAAAATAGAATGTATCCCAAAATAAAATGCTTTGCAGGTACCCAAAATTTGAGTTCAACATCACAACAACAATAAGTTTAGAAAACTCAAACTTAATAGTGTATTACAATCACCTTTCATACACCATTGACAAAAGAACCATTCTAAAGAGCCACAATAAAGGTGTGACCATATTTTCCCTCCCTGTTTGAAGATACAACGTAAGTTCATTTCATTCTAAATCATATATGTGAACCACCCATAAATTGATGTCCACTAGAATTAATAAAACCATGAGTAATAAATGAACCTGGAGAACATATCAGGTAGAAATAGCCCAAAAGTTCACTAGAAGATAAGTCATAGATTGAATAAAGGTGAACATCAGAGTGCCAAAAACCTCAGCATCTGCAATTTCTTCAAATCTTAAACCTGAATGAAGCAAAGGAAGATGAGAACTTAGTAGATGAATTAGCCAAAAATACTGAAGTCAAGCAATGGAAACATCATTTAATTACCAAAAAGGTCTTGGCATATTTTCAAGATCCCTGACATGACCAAATTGAACGGAAAGTATTGTTTAAGAGCTCCAAGGTCCAGATTAAATTGTTGTTCCTTAATTCTCTTCACATAGTACAACAGATCCTCAATTCCAAAAGGAAAATCTCCTTCCTCTTTTTTCTGATGTATCAAAAAACGCAGACTATAAAGACATAAAACACACTTTGGCATAACAAGATATAGACTAACCAAAAACTAACCTTCAAGTCTTTTAACATACTAAGTTTTCTGGTGGCCAAGTCAGTTAAACTGGCAGAGGGTTCCTCCAAGAACTCAAATACTTGTTATTACCACAAATAAGCATCCAATACTTGCGCAACGTGAAGGACCAACTGGTTTATTTGTTGAGACCCCCCACATTGAGAAAGTGAAGAACCAACCTTCTGCTCTAAAACCACTGAAAAAGCCGTTCAGACCGGATGATCCAGCAAAGGCTGGCAGCAAAAGTCAATCCTTTGAGTGCATTGGCTGCAGAAAAGAAGGAAGGCAGCCAAAAGCATTTGAAAATTCAAGGAGATGAAAAAATGGTGGGTTCATCAGTGTCGACAAAGCCAGAAATACTTGAGGGGCCTTCTGAACCAGCAATGTTGATGATGAAATTCCCACTTCATTCAAAACTGCCATCAGTGCCAGAACTAAAAGAGAAATTCGCTTTGGAAATCTTTACGAGTCAACCACTCGCGTGTTTCAGAATTCATCAACTGCCAAGGTTGTTTTTAAGAACAAGTCTAGTGCTGAGGCAGCGTATAATCACTCAGTCCTCAACAGAACTTTCCTTGGCAACATCAAGGTAAATTACCGCTTGCAAGTTTTAAATGTTTCAGCCTCAGAGATGCCTGAATCAGGTGAGTCAAGCAAGCAGCTTGTGGAAGGATCTCTTGAACCAAAGTCTACAGCAATTCAGCAGTTGCCCCTGCACCCAAGTGTCCCCCTAAAGTCGATTCTGAAGAAGTCGCCAGGTGATGAAATGGTGTCTATCAACAGTGTTAAGACTGCGACGCGACATGTCAGATTCAAGTTGGAGGGAATGCAAGTTCTGGGGAAGATAAAATGCTGCCAAGCATTACCAAAACCAGTGGCTCCATTATTGGCAATTATCTGAATCCTATTTCATCTTCGCGCACAACCATCAAGGACAATGTTGCGAACTTTCATCAGGTAATGCCCCCAACTTTGCCGCCTCAGCTTTCTCTCCCTTCCCAAATCCCGGCCATGCATGAGAATCGCAGTGTTGGTCACATAGGATGTGGGGCTACGGGAGCTGCTGGTGGTTCCTTCTTCTCTTTATTCTTATTTCTCTCGTCCTTATGTGTTCTTTCTCTCTTCTCCACTATCACACACCATGTGTTCGACGAAATGCCCCTTTAATTATCTTCCCTGCAAAGAGCATTATCACAACAAAAATGCCACTTTAACTATGTCTTTTATCAATTCTATTATGTGCCAATTGGTTTGTCATTCGAGGGTTATTCAGTTGGTTTTTTGTTTGCTGTCGAATTACCATTTGGAGCAATGATATCCATATAAACATAAATGAAATTTAGAAGAATGATTATAGAATAAGACGATAGCGTCATATCTTGCCCAAACATTGTAAGAGAAAATGAAGTGGGTTCACGTCATTGATTTACCTTTTAACAGATGCAATATAAATAATCATCTTGAATCTGTCGAATTACCATTTGGAGCAATGATATCCATATAAACATAAATGAAATTTAGAAGAATGATTATAGAATAAGACGATAGCTTCATATCTTGCCCAAACATTGTAAGAGAAAATGAAGTGGGTTCACGTCATTGATTTACCTTTTAACAGATGCAATATAAAATAATCATCTTGAATTATAGTAGCCAAAGCATGTACTTCAATAACTCCGCTCTATTTCAAGGATTAACTTCAATCACTTTCTGCACTATATTTATTTCAAGAGAGAAGGCAACCCACTGTAGTGAATCTGCTTCGTGTTCACCCCGACATTGCCTTATCCACTGGTTGGTGGCAGTAGGCTTAGAAGAGAGAGATGACGAAGATTAAAAGAGATGAGGAAAAAAAAAGAAAAAAGTAACGGAATTTTTATTTTTTATTTTTTACATGCCTTTTTGGTTGCCCAAGAAAATTTGTAAAGTATAATTTTATTTTGAAAATAAGTGTTTGACTCTAAAAATGATGAGGCTTTTCCCAAATTAGGCCTAAGTTATCTCCCAAACTAAAGCTTAGTTTGATCGAATTTTCCAGAATAAGCTGAAACGTGTTTACAAAATACGCTTTTAGCATGTTTCTGGTCCAGATGGATAAAATAAAGAACATCCTAAAAGAGTGGTTAGAAAACACGACTTGAGCATTTTCAAGTTTAAGCGCTATTTCTAACCACGCTTTTAAAGAAAGTGTAAGAAAATTTATTTTTAAAAGAAAGCGTGATTCGTAATCACGCCTTTAACACAAAGCCATATAAAATGGCCTACCCCCCTCATTTGCAACCACGCTTTTTAAACACTTTTGTTTTTTTCTCCCACAGCCCAAACCAATTCTCCCTCTCTCTGTTGATCTCTGCTCCCTCTCTCTCTCTTCGTGGATCACTCTCTACTCTCTCTCTCTCTGGTATGCGCACTCTCTCTCTTTCTCTCTCAGTTTGAATTTTATTTATGTTGATTTTGTTTGTAAAAATGTAAATGTGGGTACATAACAATGTGGGGTTTTGTGAATTCAAGTTGAGGAAGTTTGGAATAGTTTGAATACAGTTTGAATAGTTTGAATACAGTTTGGAAGATGGAATAGTTTTGTGAATTCAAATTGATACCAATGTGGGTAGAATAGGGCTCTATGAATTGAAATTGTGGTTTTGAATTCACAGATTGAACCCCAGCCCTAGCCCTAACCCAATTCTAGGGATTTGAATTGAATTTGAATTCACAAATTAGGGCAAGGGTTTTGTGAAATCAAATTTTGGCTATTATATGCAATAGTGTTTGTTTGTGAATTCAAATTTTGATTAATTATGAGTTGCACCAATCTCGGTGTTTGTTTGTGAATTCAAATTCTGTGTAGATAGGCCGATGTAGATAGAATCCATGTCCCAAAACCGTAGGAGACACAATAAATTAAACTTTTTTATTGCAAATAAAATTATGGATAAACCCAAAATGATATTTGTCACTTTCTTAACTAAGTGAGTCAATCTCAGTCATATGATTAGCGATTTTACTTCAAAAACACTAATTGACGTTATTAATTGAATGAAATTAATATAAAATTTTAAATCAAATCAATTAAAAATTTATGAATCAAAATAATATATGAGACAAAATACAAAAACTACCAATAATTTTATCCGCTAAACATTACCACTTTCCCTATCTTGATTCCACGGAACATCCAAGCCTACCGGTTGGCAAGCAATGAACTTGCAACCGAAGACAAGAAAATAAAACGAAAACAACAAAATCAAGTCAATTCTATTGTGAAAAAGATTTTTTTATTTTTTTATTTTTTATGATTGTCAGATAAATCTTCACAAAAATAATAAAAAATAAAAAATTTAGTCCTTGATCTGTATTGAAGAGTATTGTTTGAACACATAGAGTGCATTACGAGTTTCATTATAATAATCTAAACCATTTGTTTTTTATTTTAAATTTTCCATTATTTAGTGTCTTTAGAGTACTACTCTACGTTATTCATGTTAGAATACTTGTCCAATTATCTCTTACAAAAGAGAAAAAAAAATTAATTAAATTGTAAATTAAATCATTGGTCTCTATAATTTAAGTGAAGTGTCATTTCTGTTATCGTAATTTTAATTTGAACATTTTGGTCTTTATATTTTAAATTTTGTTACAAGATGATCCCTCCATCAAATGTTGTTAACAATTGAAATAGAAAAAATTAAGTACAAAATTAGAAAAATAAAAATAATATTTAAAACAAATTATAAAAACCAATAATATAATGAATATATTACATTGATAGTCTTTATAATTGATTTTAAATTTTACTTTGATTCCTCTTTTATTTTACTTATAGTATTTTTCCATTTTAAATTCAAACAAAATTAAAAATGTATTAACCAAAACCCCATATTGTTGGCTAAAGATTGAAAAACTTCTAAGGCCACTCTCTACCAATTGAGAAAAATCATGATAGAGATATAAATTCATTTAATATTATACTAGCCCTAACCCAATTCTAGGGTTTTGAATTGAATTTGAATTCATAAATTTGGGCTAAGGTTTTGTGAATTCAATTTTTGGTTATTATATGCATTTGTGTTTGTCTGTGCATTCAAATTTTGATTAATTATGAATTGCACCAATCTCTGTGTTTGTTTGTGAATTCAAATTCTGTGTAGATAGGCCGATGTAGTCAGAATCCATGTCCCAAAACCGTAGGAGACACAGATAAATTAAACTTTTTTATTGCAAATAAAATTATGGATAAACGTAAAAAGATATTTGTCACTTTCTTTTACCTTATATCTACTAGTTGGCTCCCCAAGCACGGAGTCGTGGTATAGTTTCAATAAAAATATTTTTAAAATTATGTTTGGTTTATGAATTTAAAAAGTGAAATGTAGTTATATTTTATATTAATATATTTATCTTCTGTTTTTCTCTTTGCAAATTTATTCGCAAATTAATAGCAATATGAACAAAGCTATCTGTCATATTAGATGTAAATATATTTTCACATTTGTAGTAAATAAAAATGTTTTTGATAACAAAATCAACAAAGCTATAGAGAAGAGCACTATATTTATTTACTAATAGAAAAATAATTCATCTACGTAATTTCTCTGAATAACCTGCCAAGTCAAATTTAAAAAACTACATTCAAATATTCGTGCAAACTTTCCTTATATGTATTTTGGGAAGAAACTGTATAGTTATAACATTGTTATCAACAATAAGTATTCAATGCGATCTTGTCCAGATGTTATGTATAAACATATTAATGTTGACGGTTTGATAATAATATGCATATAGTATACATCTTATAACATACATTTAACCCAAAAAAATTGGGAAATTTAGCTATAAACCCCCTTTACCTTCCTTTCATTGTTAAAAGGACTAAGAAAAAAATTATACTTTCTAAACCTCCTCATAATTATAAAGTCTTGCATAAAGGACAAAATTTATTATTTAAATATTTTATCAGACTATTATACCCCTCAACTAGATCTTCCCACCTTCTCCGTCTCTTTCCTCATCCGCTCTACTAAGATCAGCGACGGACATCACAGATTTCACGTCCGGTAGTGGTGGTGGATCTAGATCTGGAACCAACAGATTTAGATCTCACAGTTGAGCAGAAGCAATGATAGATCTGGATTTTCGATTCAGCAGCAAAGGTAACGTTGAAGACGACGACCTCATTGACAGCAGCTTCAATCGCCGTTGGCTTCTCGAGGTTATGTTGTTGCGTATGGCGGTGTCAACGTGAAGAATGCTTCGGTGGAGGTAAGGCCGGAGTTTGAATACGGTTACGATGCTAATGTGGTGAAAGGTTCGGAGTTTGATGTGGTGAAACAGTGAAGAAAACGACAACTAAACTTGTGACGAAACAACTGAACTTGTGACGAGCACAGAGTCCGCGTAGTCTCTGGATTTCTCAACGGCTGTAAAAAGAACAAGAAAATATATGTATATATATATTTGTGTGTATGAGTGTTGTTGAACACATATATTCTTTTTATTGAGATTTATGATTGTTGATCGAGTTTTAGAAGTTTTTCTTCTCAATTAGATATATAAACCCCCTTTACCTTCCTTTCATTGTTAAAAGGATTAAGAAAAAAATTATACTTTCTAAACCCCCTCATAATTATAAAGTCTTGCATAAAGGACAAAATTTATTATTTAAATATTTTATCAGACTATTATACCTCTCAACTAGATCTTCCCACCTTCTCCGTCTCTTTCCTCATCCGCTCTACTAAGATCAGCGACGGACATCACAGATTTCACGCCCGGTAGTGGTGGTGGATCTAGATCTGGAACCAACAGATTTAGATCTCACAGTTGAGCAAGTTGAGCGATAGATCTGGATTTTCGATTCAGCAGCAAAGGTAACGTTGAAGACGACGACCTCATTGACAGCAGCTTCAATCGCCGTTGGCTTCTCGAGGTTATGTTGTTGCGTATGGCGGTGTCGACGTGAAGAATGCTTCGGTGGAGGTAAGGCCGGAGTTTGAATACGGTTACGATGCTAATGTGGTGAAAGGTTCGGAGTTTGATGTGGTGAAACAGTGAAGAAAACGACAACTGAACTTGTGACGAAAGTTCTATCCCAATTCTCAGCACAGAGTCCGCGTAGTCTCTGGATTTCTCAACGGCTGTAAGAAGAACAAGAAAATATATGTATATATATATTTGTGTGTATGAGTGTTGTTGAACACATATATTCTTTTCATTGAGATTTATGATTGTTGATCGAGTTTTAGAAGTTTTTCTTCTCAATTAGATATGTTGATTTGTTGATTAATTTGTTTTGTTTTTGTTTGTTTGTTTTTTTTTATTATTTATTTTTGTTGTTTTTGATCTAATTTCATTTGATAGAACCAGGTTCTATTGCTCTGTTTTTTGTTGCAGATAATGAGAGTAGAATTTTACTCTGGTTCTATTGCTTTTTTTTTTGTTTGAGAGAATTAGAGTAAAATTTTACTCTGGTGTTAGAATGACAATAAAATTTTACTGTCAAGAGGTGGTCATTGCCAAACACTTCAGCCACCACAAACATTGCCATCGTTTTTTTACTTTTGTGTAGAGTAACATTTTACTTTTAGCTTTAGAGTCTCACAGTTTATTCGTTTTTCAGAGTAAAATTTTACTCTTATACAAAGTAAAATTTTACTTTTATGTAGAGTCTAACATTTTACTAGTTTTTCATAGTAAAATTTTACTTTTATACAGAGTAAAATTTTACTTTTAGCTTTAGAGTCTCACAGTTTACTCGTTTTTCAGAGTAAAATTTTACTTTTATACAGAGTAAAATTTTACTTTTGTGTAGAGTCTAACAATTTACTAGTTTTTCAGAGTAAAATTTTACTTTTATACAG